AATTTGAACAGTAGAACTGCAGTCCTATTTCTTTTTGAAGTACCCTCGTACTAAATTAATTGATACTTGTAAATTCTACATTAATGAACAGAGTGGAATACTTTTGTTTGGTATCACTCTTACAGTACGTTATAACGTATACATAGTTTATAACACTGCAATAATTAAGATCACTTTCATTTCAAAAGTTAGACAACATTTGTCAACAAGTATTATTACATATTGTCTCAGTATAATGAAAAACAAACTATATTGCATGTAATACCTCCTTATATGGTTCTTTTTTAATTCCATGAAAAAAGGATTTTTTTTTTGTAAATACTCTGTTACATTGTTTACGTTTAATGTTGTTTGTTTTCTTGTACATGCCTTGTACATGCCTGAGTAGGGCAATCAAATCAAAAAGTTGTATTGCATCTACCAATTTTCAGTATGGATAATAGAAAATACAGTGATGCCTTTTTAATGTGTTTTTATGGTAGGTCTTAAAATATCTATGAATGGTACAGGTTTGACCTGTATGAAAAATGCGGAAAGACGTATTTCGTTTTCGGAAAGAAAATAAATCTGATATTGATTGCTTGCAATGCACTCAATTTACAATGGACATGAAAAACTCTATATACGCTGAATAGAATTGTGCATGTTACTTAAGCTAAGCTGAGGAACATCCAATTCCAGAGGTGTCGCAGTTTTATTCGGAAGAAGTATTGAGTATAAAATTAAGAATACATTATTAACAATGGACACTAAATTATTTTAGATATAATCATGTGTGATAAAAAACTTCACTCTTTTAAGCTTTTGGACAAAGTTCTAATAAGACGAATACGTTTTTACGCATTATTGGCGAAAATACTCGTCAAGGCTCACGTAGGGCACAAAATGGGCGCAATTTAATGAAACACTTGCCATTTGTTACAAGCGTAACACTAAGTAACATCTATGTAACGCATGTGAATTCAGTATCATTTGCAACAAGCCTATTCATTCCGATTTCTGTCCATTTTAAAGGCTTATGCTGCAACATTTGTAACAACCTGTGACATTTGTAACAATTTTATATGAATTTTTCATTTCATTCTCAACTCGCGTAACATTTGTAACAATGCTGTAACAACAATGTAACAACTATGTAACAACCTTGTAACATCTATTTTACCCTATTTATTCCAATTTCTGTCCATTTTAAAGTGTTACAGAAAAAGCCTTGAAATGGCCAGAAATCGGAATTAATAAGGTTACATAGAAGTTACAAGGATGATACATAGTTGTTACAGCATTGCTACAAATGTTACGAAGGTTGAGAATGAAATGAAAATGTCCACACATTATTGTTACAAATGTTACAGGTTGTTACAAGTGTTACATCACAAGCCTTTAAAATGGTCAAAAATCGGAATTAATAAGGTTACATATTTGTTACAATGTTGTTACATAGCTGTTATAGCTTTGTTACAAATGTTACGAGGGTTGAGAATGAAATGAAAATTTCACAGATAATTGTTACAAATGTTACAGGTTGTTACAAGTGTTACAGCACAAGCCTTGAAAATGGCCATAAATCGGAATTAATAAGGTTACATAGATGTTACAAGGTTGTTACATAGTTGTTACAGCATTGTTACAAATGTTACGCCAACTGGGATTGTAATGAAGATTTTTACTTACTTTTTACAATTGATTTCAAAACACATATAAGTATAGGACCTAAAGGGTTACATCCTTTATATGTGTTACATTGATGTTACGTACATGTTACTTAGAGTTATTCTTGTGACATATTAGAAGTGTTTCATTAAATTGCGCCCTTTTTGTGTCCTACCTCTCAAGGCTAGTGTGTTTACGATACCGTAGCGGCTCTTAAATTTCGTTATTTCTTTCGTTTTCAGAAAAATCTAAAAATAATCTTTGATGTGACCAAATTGTCTTTGTGTACTTATATTTCTTGATATAACATTATAGATTTTATGTATTTGTAATACACAATATAAATAAATGATTATAACAATGATCTACAGAGTCACCAAATATTCGACTGGTAAACGGAATTGGGTTGTATGATGGCAGAATGGTGGCAGTTGGGGAACTATATGCAGCACATCATTTTGTTCTCGTGAAGCTACAACACTATGCAATATTCTTTTAAGCTCCAGGTATCGTTCTTTAGTTCACATGTTTTATACAGTAAATATTTAAATATATTGCTACTCTATATTTATTTTCGTAACTACAAAGAAGTAAAGTTATTATGATGTTTTTTTTTTTTAATATGTGTTCATTTTAGAATGTAAATTTTATAATTTACAAGTTGCCAATCAACATTTTAAAACCATTTATCTTTTTTTAAAATAAATTATCAAAATATATAATATTTGTATGTTACTATGTTCAGATATTGTTGATTTGAGATATGTATATATTTTCAGGAATGCCAGAAGTTTTTTCGTTTTTATGTTTTTTTTTTTTATTTTGTTCTTTGTTGTTTTTTCTTCTTTTTTGTCACTTTTTCAGTTGTCATAGATATATTAAGCAGAATTTCAACCTTATACATTCTACTAAGTATTGCATGAATTTAACAAACCACATCGAAAATCACTTATTTCGTTTCTGAGGTGATAATTGGTGTTTATATCGATAGCTGTTTTTAAGTTGTTGGACGGTATTGCAGAATTCATTGCTGGTAAAATAATTGATTTATATTGTCTTCCTTAACTTTTGCGTCTTTTGTTGTATAGTGTTTCGGAAGTTTTTACTTATTTACTTATTTAATATATCAATTGATAACTGTAAATTCTACATTATAATCCTGAGTGTAATAACTTTGTTTGGCATCACTCTTGCAGTATGTTTTGACGTAGTCATAGTTAATACCAATGCACAAATTAAGATCACCTCAAATTCAAAAGTAAGACAACATTCGTCAACAAGAATGCATTACATATTGTCTCAGTATGAGGAAAAACAAACTATATTGCATTTCATATCTCCTTACGTGGTTTTTATTTTTGAATTCCAGGAAAAATGAGAATTTCGTTTGAAAATATTGAAAATACTCTGTTACGTTTTTTTAACTCGTTCGTGTTTTTTTTTGTATTTTCGTGTATGTCTAGCCAGGGCAATCATATCAAAACGTTGTATTTGACTATTACATTTGACTAATGTTCTGTTGAGATTATAGAACGTAACAGTGATGCCTTTTAATGTGGTTAATGGGAGGTCTTAAAATGTTATCTCTGAACAGTAGAGGTATTTTGTTTTCTAAAAGAAAATAAATCTGATATTATATTTACTGCTTGCAATACACTCCCTTTACAGTGGACATGCAAAAATCTAAATACGCTGAACGGAACCTTTTACACGGTAATCCTAAAATCAAAAGGGGTCTTTTATTAGTTATGGCAGGATAATGAGTGGAAACCATTCTGACATTTAATGTTGTTTTTTTTGGCACTGAACATTTACCCAATGAGATATCCTGCAAGGTAACCTATTAATACTCCTGGATCCGGACAACAAAGTGTAAAGATAAACAAAGGACAATAGCTACAAAATAAGGTAAGGCAAAGGCACTGCACTCAATGTGATCTTTCTACCTACAACTATATTGTTAAAGTTAGAGTAAGTTCCGGACAAAGTTCAAAGTGTAAAAATGAACAAAAGGCAATAACGCCAAAATTTAGGATGAGATTGTAACAGTTCTTATTTACTGCTCTTCCATTCAAAGAGACCTATATGCCTACAAAGTTTAAGTTGACACCTTTTAAAGTTCTCAAGTTCCCGGACAAAGTTTTAAATGTACAAATGAACAAAGGGCAATAACTCTGAAATTAGGGAAAGCAGAGGGATGGTTATTTTGCACTGCACATCCACTCAATGAATCATATCTAACTAAAATGTTTCTTGTTAATATACTTTGTAGTTTTAGAGTAATGTCCCGGACAAAGTTCAAAGTGTAAAAATAGAGAAAGGGCAATAACTCCAAAATTAGGTCGGACAAAGTTATGGTTCTCTTTGCCCAATGAGCTCTCTCTTCCTATAAAATTACTTGATAATACTCCATGTAGATTCAGAGCTATGTTTCGGACGTTTTAAACATAAAAATGAACAAAGGGCAGTAACTCCAAAAAATAATGGAAAGCAGAATTACGGTTCTTTTAGCACTGCACTTCTTCTCAATAAGATCTCCTTACCTACAGAGTGTTTTGTTATTACCCCTTGTGGATTTAGAGTTATGTCCCGGACAACGTTGAAAACAAAAACAAATGGCAATTATACCAAAATAAGTAAGACAGATTAACGACGATTTTGCATTGAACATCTATCCAATGTCAAAATCTCTATATTTTATTATCTTTAGTGACCTTGACTATCATTTTTAGTGACCTTGCATATATTAACCTAAATCACATGTTATACACCAGTAGTCATGATAATGACCATTTGTGTTTCGATCCCCCAATAATTGATGACTAAAAGGTCCGAATACATATTTTCAAATTTTTATCTGAGCATTGACCGCTATGTGTAACATTGGCCTGGGCCGCAGTGATCCAAATTTTGCATGCGACACCCTGCCTCACAATGGTGAAAATGTGTGACAAATTATATTGAAATCCCTCTATGCATGTAGAAATTTTGCTCCGTCGCTTTCCAAAGTTTCGAAAGGTTTTGAGTGTTACTAAAGATTCTTTTTAGTATTAACACTATCCGACATTACGTTTGTTCATAGTTAAACATACAGTTTATTTTACTGATTTCATCATCACCGGCCTTTTAACTTAGTTTGCAAATTTTGTGGAAACAAATCATATATCCGGTATAAATATCGACAACACATTATTGACTTTAAATCGTTACTTTCATAAAACCTTCAAAAGCCGTAACTATTTAGACATTTTACGCATGGAGGATGTCAAGTGAAGGTAGTTTTGAATCCGAGTTCACTATATGACATAAATAATATATCGGGACACTGAAAAGGCAACAAATGACATTGATGTTCTTAATAAATTATATTAAATGTGTTCATGCTATGTATGTACAACGAATATGATGGCACACCAAAATATATTTACTACCTTGTCGTATCATTCTTACAGAGTACGAAAACACGGCTCGGGAACGGGAAAAATACAGCATTAACATACAAATACAAATATAAATGCGATAAAGCAAGAGTTTTAAAGCGGGAAAATTTCCCTGAAGCAAATAGTATCTACATAATATGTCAATAATTCTTTTAACAAACTTTTCCATTATTGTCAGTAAGCGCACTCTAGATTTAGGTCAAGAATAAATAAGTAAACTTGCCTATATGTCTATTTCTTAGAAGAATTATGTGTTCTTTTGTAGCTTCCAAAACGTTACTTTTTAGTTATATACCTGAACAATCGTTTGCTTTTAAACGTCAGTACAATGAACGGGTTTATGTTTTGTGTATGGTAGTCAAAATACCACTTTGTTTACATTTGCTGCTTTCATGACAAATTAATTCACATTCAGTGTTACTTTTTTTAAGTGATAAAACCGAATATGATCTAGTCTATCATTAAAATATTATTAAACACATGTTTGACCCTTCTAAAAGAGAAAAAGGCTTAATGCGAATTCAGTACATGTAGACATAAATTTTTACAACAATGTTCTGTCATCAAAAAGATGTGATTTAGCAAGTTTTTATAAGAAACAAAAACAAAAATATAAATATTATCAATATTTCAACGAAATCCACGACGTGTATGATTTTACTCAGTGTGCGTTTCGTTCTTTTATCTAGAATTTGATGTCATCGTTGTCAACAATGCTGTATGTTGGTCTCTCATTGGGTGCATCAAACTGTTCGTTGTACTGCAATGAATAAAACATATTTCACTTATAAAACATTATCTGAACTTATATCTATCGTAAATTGCTGTAACATGTACCCATACCATAATATATAAACGATTTCTTAAAGCCAAGAGTATATGATAATGTAACTATGTTATTTAAAGTTATAGAAATATTCATAGTTCAATAACATTCGTTCTCACGATATAAATTGCATTTAGTTTAGACAACCAAATTTGATAAACTAAACTAGTTTAATATATAACAAGAGCTGTCAGAGTATACAGCGACGCTCGACAAATTTAGTACTGGACGCAGTAAAGGAAGACAAAACTGTGGGAAAAAATCAACTATGACTTAAATATAGTTATGTTTCAGTATCAAGAAAGCACACAAATGTTTAATACATTTGCACCATAATACATGCTTGTTACCGAGTCATTAAAAGTTTAACCTTTGATTTCTTTGCTCTAGTAGAAAATACAAAAATTTGAAATCTGAAGTTATACTCGTCAGTAACAATAATGATAACAGCAAAAGGTATATAAAGTTTTCTAAAAGTAAAATTCCAAGTTAAAAGAGGAAATTACTCTTGAAATAAAGATGTTATAGCTATTACTTGTCATGCATTATGTGAGTAATGACAAAGATCAATTATCTAAAGTCTAGAGTATATACAATTTACAACAAAAATACAACAATTTTCAAATAAATTTCAAGTTTTGAGATAATTATGGAAAAACAGTAACATGTACAAATCTTATTACACATGACAAATAATTTGAAGTCCAATGAAATAAAAAAAGTTACAGAACAAAAAAGGAAAAAAAAAGATCATTTATAAAATAATGACGCATATTATTTTTCAATATTAAACGGGAGTTGATTGAAATTTAAATTGTGAAAAATAAAGAAGTTTGAGCTAAAAATAACATTTTTTATAAAAGAAATTCAAAGTTCAAGGGGAAATAATTCTGGAAATACATTTTGTATTCATTCTTGAATTATCTCGACACATATATCGGTGAAAATGAATAATCAAAATATGATAGAGATATAATAAATTATTACTTATATATATAGAGACATGTATCGGTTCAAGTGGAGATAATTCTGAAAATATTGCTTGTGGAGTAAGGAACCTTGTCATAAAGGTGTAACTGATAAAATGGTGCATGTATTTGAAGTTTGAAGTACATACCTTAAGAAATGAAAAAGTTCTAGTAAAAACATGACATTTTAAACATAAATTCTAAGTTTAAGGACGGATCACTCTGAAAGAAATGTATTCTAGAGTTATGAATCTTGTCATACGTCATGTGGGTGATGATATGGAACACATGCTTGAAGTCTGAAGTAGATACCTTAAGAAATAAAAAAAGTTATAGTAAAAATATCATTTTTAAGGAAAAATCTATGTTCATGGGGAGATAATTCTGGAAATATTGTAGCAATAGTTATTAAACCTTGTCACATATTATGTGGTTGCAGATAAAACATATATTTGAAAAATATATTTGATGTTTGAAATTGATCCCTTCAGACATAAAGAAGAAAGAGTAAAAAAAACTTTTTATTAAAGAACATTCTCAGTTCAAGGGGAGATAATTATTAAAATATTGTTTCCAGAGTAACGAACCTTATCACATAAGATGTGGTTGATGATAAGGTACATTATATTGGAAGTTTGAAGTCTATACCTTAACAAATAAAACAATTAAAGATGAAACTATTTTACTGCCCCAAAACTTTAATCTGATATATGGACGCGGACCTTGACGCCAGGTTGAGTAGCACAGCTCTCCATATACTTCGTATAGTCGAACTAAAAATAACTATTTTAAAAGGAATGAATGCATTTAAACATTAATCAGGTAAACCGTATGTTTAATGAAATAATAAGACTTTTGGTTCGTCAGAGTGTTAGTAACTGAGTAGGTAAGCAAGTAAGTAAAGACTTTAATGAGGCAACACAGGTGGGTAAGTCCAGTCTTCTCTATGACCCCAGCAATGTACAAAAACACTTCATTAATGCAATACACCATGCATAGATCAAATATTAGAATGAGTTGCTTTGTTATAACCGTGACTAATAAAGTAAGTAAGTACCCCAAATTCGCTTTCACTTTGTCTAAACATCGCTGGTTCTGTGAGAAGATCCGATTTACGAGGTTTCAATGTGAGGGGTGTAACCGAAGCCAGATCTATTTAATATATATGCTCATACTTAAAAAGTGATTCTTATGACACAATAACAATTAAATATAAACAAAGTTCCCTGACATTTCAGGTATTTTTCAACTATATTTATACAGTTTTGTGCTTTAATTGTCAAGCTATGAACAAGAACAATGTAATGTTACCCTTTTGTCCTTGTTGTACATTGTCAAATTCGAGATATATCCATGTATATTATGATAATACGTAGCTTGTTTTGACCTCTATAATAATTAATATTATTTATTTCACCAATTTAGTTTTATAATCTTTATGTTAGTCTTCACATTAACATCGCATATTTTAACTGTAAATGGTACGTTAATAAATTTTACGTACAAAATTGCTTAGTTTTAATCAGACACAAATTGATAAACATCAAAGTTAAACATAAAATAAAAGTTACATACTACCTTTAGTGTCAACTTCCTTCATTTTTTGTTTTCTCAACAGATGTCTCACAATTACTACAGCCATAATCATAACAAATAGTCCAGCACAAGATAATCCAATGACAAACGGCCAGTTTGCTTTTAATTTAAAAAAAGTGACTAATCAGACAGCATGTGATTGATAAAATTTATTTCCGATTTTTTTTTTCATGTAAATATAAACAGTGGTTCCAGAATGTATATGCATTTATACACCTGGAAATAAGTTAAACACACTTCAAATTACTTTTTCTAAGCTCAATTAAGTCGTCATCTCATGACGGTGCTTTCAATTACAACCAATTTTAAATTTCCAGGGTTGCTTAACTTATTTCCAGATGTAGATATAGTTATTACTTGAATTAATACTTCTTTGGGTAACTTAAATATTTGGTGTCACGTAAACAACTTCTGGGAGATATAAGTTAATAGTCTATGAAATACAGCATTACCTCTCACTTATTAAATTGACAAACATAAAATATCAGCTTACAACAATATGTCAGATATAAATCTGTAAATGTTGAACAATACACAATTGTCTGAATTATCAACTAAAACAAATACTCGACAAATGAGCAAATTTGCTGGAATACATTTACTTACCCTCATTATCTTCAAAACTCTGCCTGTAAGGTAATTTATAGCTTATTATCTTCATTGTTTATGATTTATCTCTTATCTATTTCTACGTGAAATTGTGTTAAAAATGCAAAATATGTAGAAAATCCGAAAAAAAAGAAAGAAAGAAAACAAAAAGATTGTTGAGAACAAAACAAATCTTATTGATTTCATATCTACTAAGTCAATGACAACTTTTATGATAGAATTTTAACATGTGACTTATCAAACATTTTTACCAAATAACTTTATAAGTAAATTAAATAAAATGACATGTACCTGCAAACAGGAATATTATTTTCAACTGTGCAATGGTAGCCTTGTTTACAACTGCCGACAGTCACACTGTACAGTTCACATGGTTTCAAATCCATATACATCGCTATAGAAACAATAGAATAGTGTTTTAAGTGGTAATAATTTCAACTTTATCAAAATCGTTACATGCATGTTCACAAATTTAAAATGAATAAGTTATTTCATAGAAATGAATATTGCATTTTTATCCATAAAATTGTCTTAAGGTATGACCACTGTAACGGGTACTATACGGAACTGGACAATTGATTACATAGGTCTGATACATACCATAAAAGACACATGTATGCAAAATTTAAACACACTGTACCGTACGGAAATCGAGTAGTTGCCATTTTTATGAAAAGAAGCTTGGACGATAGAACGGCCCTTTTTCAGAAATAATGAATCTTTTGATAATACACAATTTCATCCTTATGAAATTTTTTTTCCAATAACTTTTTTGTAAGAAACAAATAGTACAATTTATCTCAGCAAAATGATTTTTCTACTCAAAATTTATGAATTATGCATAACAATTTGACCCTACCTACCCCACCCATTTCATGGTTTCTCTAAATTTTCTCAAAGTATATTGGTTGATCTTTTAAATTATTAAATACTTTTACCGTCTAGATTTGATTTTATTACAATTTGAAAATATCAGGTTCCATATTTGTTATTTGATTTAGCGTTATTTACTCAATAAATACCTATATTAATCAAATTATCAAAATAAAACGCTTTTTCTTTCCAAAAGGATAAAAAAAATTAAAGAAAAAGAAAGAAAAAAAAAGTTGACCCTTCTGGGGTTTGAATCCATGACCCTAAGTTTCAATTTAGTTAACAGGTCTGCCCTATTTGAATACTCTTCAACGCGAAGGTCATGTATTAGCATGGTTATACCTTAAGATATCAAAATATGAACCGAAAAGTGTTAAATACAGTATTTACAACGATTATTGGTATAAGTCGTGTCCAATTGTCCCTATTCATATTTCAAAGAATTGTGATCTTGCAAGGTTACTGAGAAAACTGACTTGATAAATATTTGCACAATTGTCCATCCTGCTTAACGGCAATAAACTTACTTGACATAACACTGACATTTTGTCCATACACTGTTAATTGTGTACCATGTTCTAAATCAAGGACAGCTTTAGTTAGATTTGCAGCATCGTCCTCGTTGGGTTCAACATACACAACAGTATAATCTACGATAATACTTCCATTCCTTAAAAAATGATTCGATTAATAGGTAAATATACTTGAATCTAAATAACTTAAAATATTTTAAAGACTTTCTGTTTTAAAAGATGAATAGTTTTACATGAACTTTGTAAAAGTCAAAAGAATGAAGCCCCACAAATCAATAAAAGTGATAAGTACATCAATATGCATTATTTTGTTTTCGTACAGAATTAACATAGCTAAGTTAAATAAAAACATGAAACAATAACACATAATGAAATACTTCGGCGAATAATGAAATTATAAGATACTCTAACAATGAAATTAAAGGATAAACATGATGATTCATTCCCAAGAAAGGGACGTAACACTCTGACATGTAACATCGACGATACAAATACATTTTAAACGTTGTAGCAAATATGTACTTAATTTCTATTCCAGCTCGTGAACGTAGGGATTAAGACATTATTATTTAATATAATAAAAAGGACGTTACCTTAAGAGAAATTAAACAATTTGGACATTTATTCAATAAATTCTTAAATTCATAGAAATACGATCGTAGCAAAAATAATGATGATTTAGAAAAAAATAGAATGTCTCACACATTCTTATAAGGAAAGTTAGACAGTAAAACAAGAATAAAAGGAAGAACTGAAGAAAGTGCTGAAAAAAAGACGAGGCGGTAAGTTAGTAAAACCATAGACCAACCGTTATTTTGCTCTAAATCCTGCTCAACTCAACTTTTTATTTCGGTTCATAAAAATGTTTTATTTTTCATAATTATTAAACGAAAAGAAAAAGAAAATATTTTGACATCCTCATTATTTTGACTTTGTTACGTAAACTATATTTAAAATATTTGTAACATTTCTAAATCGTAAAACAGCCATTGTACCAGAATGATAAACGTTTCATTATAAACTAACCTTTGTACCGGTATGATAAACGTTTCATAATAAAACTTACCTTATATCATTAATTATAATTTCAATCAAAACAGAAATATATTTCTTGTAAAAGTCCAAGAGCTGAAACATATAATGAGTTTATACATAAACCACTTAGATATAAATCATTTACGCAGTATTCCATTATTTTATAACTATGTTCCATTATTGTATGACTATAATGTTATAATTGCATATTAGAAAATTATTTAATGTTTTGTGATTGTCATAAACTTTAGGAATGCATTTCATTTTGTCATCTTATTTCTTTTTGTCTTTGAGGACAATAGCTAATCCTATTTTTTAAATAACGATCATCAACAATTTTCAATACACACATAACAAATGTATTTATTAAATATGTTGAAAAATTGACATTTGAACAGAAAGACGGTGACGAGTTTCATAGAAAACAACTTACTGTAGAAATTATCTCCATTTCAAGTGCGTTGTAAGTGGCAGCGGTTTGAAGATTGGTATCAGCTGGGAGATCCATGTTTAATGTGAGTGAATGCTTAAATGAATTTCCTGCAATGATGAAGTAGATCTAGGATAAATAGCAGAAACAAATATGAAAGTAACACATTTGAAACCTGAACATGAATTGGGTACAGTTTATTAGTTTCTTTTTATGTTTTTTTTTTGCGCTTTTATTTACATTATTTTAGTGATTACTTTAAGCTATGTATTTCAAATGTGCTCAACATTTTCATGGTTAACTTGTGTACAAAATCCAATCTACCTGGAAAAGCAGCTGTTCTTGAACTCTCTGAAAGCAAATAAGAAATCAATTAGATATTGTAAGTTGTAACTCAAATATTTAATTCTCTTACAGATCAAAGAAATTATATTTTAATAATAAAGCACTGAATCGCCTTACTTTACAAATATGAAAACTTTCATACATTCTTTACTTTACATATTTGTATGATATAAAACCTTTATATAATGTACCTATCGGCATTGAGATGAACATAAGTACCGAAGAAGAATCTTTGTTAAGAATATCGATAATTCATATTGATACAGTTTGAAATATATGTACATGTGGCATGTAAACATATGATTTATAAATATTCACAACGCATTTGTTGGAATCGATATTTCTTATTTACCTATAAAAAAATAAAGGTATAATTATATACTTTGAAATGAACAGTACACTATAAAATGTTACCTTCGCATGTAACTTTATCATCTTGTAACTGAAACCCTGTTTTACAACTACATACAAAACTACCAGCAGTATTATTGCATAGATGGTCACATGGCTGAACACTGGGCAGGCATTCGTCAACATCTAGTATAACATTTGATGGTACAATTAGTATTTTCGATACAGTTTATCATGTAAAAACACAAATGTTTTAAATTCGGAATTCAAAATATCATTTTTATGTAACATTGATAAAGTATGATATACATTTGATAAAGTTTTTTTTTTGGACTCTAAAATTTAAAAAAAAACAGATGCTATATAGGATACGATATGGATTTGACATGGACATTTTGGACTCTGGAAATGAAAACAAGACTAAATTGATAAGATTTGGTCCAATAAAAATTTCTACAGGAACATCACGTGGTGCAAATGCTGACAGTTGAATGGTTATAGTTAATCAGACTTAAAATGAATGATGTTATTTTAGTATAAAGCAAATTAGCCACATGGTAAACACGATCAGCAAATTAAAAGTTATCATTTTATGGGATTTTAAAATTTTATTTTTTTTTTATAATTTTCAATTTGGGCAATCGATTAGATAAATTCATTGGCAACATATTTTGTAACACGTAAATAACAAAGATATATTTCATAAATGTTTCATGAAAACACCAGTATCATGGCTTCTTTATCTGGTTACTGACATATTTGAGGCAAAAATGCTTAATACTTAATTTATAAAATAACTAATACATGAAATGTAATGTTCTAAGACAAAGTCGGACAATTTTCATGTGTAAGAAAAAATGTTAATTTTCTCAGCAGATGAAGTCCTATAATCGTACAATACGTAAGAATTTTGAACAAAAAGGTCAAAGCTAATAACTGACCGATGGTATGTAAGTTATAAATATTTTTTTAATTAATGTCAGTACTTTTTAATGTTATTTTGGACATTATTTTATCTTTATATTTTCTAATATCGGTACACTTCATTGATTACAATCAACAAGCCAGTGAAGTCATAGTTCTAAACTCATATTAATAAAATCAACTTATAAAGGTAAAGGGGTACATGAAAATGTAATCCGATAATTTGACACAAGAGGACAACGTTCGTGGCTGATATCGATGAAGATGCTTATATATTACAATATAAGAAACTCGTATGAAGAAACACATTACCTTCGCAAATATCTCCACTCATTTGAAATCCTGTCAAACATCTACAACTTATTATCCCATTATTTACGTAACATGACGCATGCGCGGGACAAGGTTTGCTTTCTTCCTCATTACATTCCGTCTCAGCTAGTCAAAATAGAAATCTAGTATATTCATGTATTAAAATGTACTTTGCAAAGTGTTATCTTCCAATTTGTTATTTTAAGGTTCAATTCTGATATTTATGGAATATTTTTTTTATAGATCTTTCTTATCATTTTATATAACTTTAATTAGCTTGACTGATGTATCATGCTACTGTTTTTTTATATGCACATTTTTACTGAAATAAATTCATCTTGTTGTATTGTTGGTTTAAAGCATGATTTTTAAGTATTTGTTAGATTAATCTCTTGTAATGAACAGCTTTAGTATCATTAATTTCTGTTTTAATATTTTGAAAGGAACTAAATGACGGGATGCAAAAATAACACAGAAACATATTTTTATCTCAGTAACACATAATTTGTTTGTTTTATTCAGCACTTATACACTAAAAATGTTAATGTATTTTATTTCTAACAATACTTAATATACTTTTAAATTAACCGTAACATAGTATCACGAGGCAAAGGGGATCACAATTACAACTTACGTCTACAAGTTTTTCTGTCAGACAATTGAAGCCTGAAGCCTTCCTCACATGAACATAAATAACTGCCAATGGTGTTTTCACAAATTTGACCACATCCATGTTTATTTGCACATTCATCAATATCTGTTATGATGAATTTAGTTTTATTTTATCTTTTTTTATTGAATTGTATAAGATATTATACGAGTGATGTTAAAATCATTTTGTCAATTGACTTTGCCAACAAAATAGAATAATATAATTTTGTAAATAAGTTAGAATTAGATATGTACAGTAATAACAATACTTTAAGAAATGAAAGGTATATTTATGGGATTTTTTATTATTCTTAATTTACCTTTAGTTACAAATTTTTTTAAAACTAAGTTACCTATGCATTTTCCATTTTTAAGATGAAACCCATTGTGACAGCTACATGTGAAGCTTCCTTTTGTATTAATACACTGTTGGTCACATGAGTTGAGCTGTAAATCAGAACACTCATCGATATCTGTAATCAATGAAAAAAAAGCAAGAAGTAGTTCCTGTATACTTCCTATTGAATTAGTAGCAAATAGTCTTTATGACACTCTACATTAATGTACAATTTTAAGAGTGGACAATGCATTCTTTATCTAAAATATCTAGAATGTACCAATAAAGGTAAATTTCTTTATTCAGTTATGAAAAGTTCATTAACTACACTCGTCCATAAAATATTATCACAATAAATTACCCATGCATTTCCCAGTACTATTTTCATATCCGGTTTTACATAAGCACGTAGCACTCCCAAGAAGGTTTACACACATCGTATTTTTGTCAGCACAATCAATTTGTTCTGTTTCACACTCGTTGATATCGATGTCACAATTATCACCAACCCATCCGTGTTGACATATACACCCTGGATACATGATATAAAACATCACTGTCTATTTCAAATAAAGGCCATTTATGCAGAACATCCATTTCTTTCATAAGTCTGATTACTTTTTTGTCAATACCTTAGAAAGTTATACGTAACTTTCTCTTTTTACATTTGATATACATGTATTGTATGTTGTACTCATAGCTTTAATCGCATGGTAAATATTGGTAATTTACAATAGAACGGCAAAAGAATTTTTGAAATATGAACCGATAATTTCCTTTGTCTTTTTGTTTTGTAAGTATTGATATCAGTAGTACCTGTTTAGCGACTAGCATACCTTTTATTTTGTCACAATGCCCATAAAGACAGCTGCATTCACGCAAACAATTCTTGCCATAGTGATAGTCATCACATTCTATCATTAGATAAATTTATAAATAATATTTCACTTTTCATTCAATCTTATTTATTGTTTTCCAATACTGAATTCATAGACCCATAAACACATAAATTGACTCGATATAATATACATTTTTAAAACACACAAGCATTATGTGACAAATCGTTTATAATGTACCAGTCATACTGTTCCTGAATCCGGTAAATGTTTAACAATGAACGATATATATTGATAACTTATACTTTTTATTATGTTATAAACTAGTTTGTTAAGGATATAGAGAAACGCTGACTGACGATTTATTAAAATTGACACTTAGTTTTTTGACCTTTTTGTATCTTTATGTTTCCGGAAAATATGATAGCCATGATATTTCAAGTGTATTAAAAAAAGAACAATACACATAAAATATAAGATATGAATAAATTAAAGGAAAGTTGAAACACCTGAACAAGTTCTGCCATCATTTTCTAGTTGTGTACCAACTGGACACTCGCAATTATACGACCCAGCCGTATTTATACACGTAGCATTGATATGGCATTTATTGTCGGCCTCATTCTCACATTCATTTATATCTGAAATACCAAGTGAACTTAAGCTGAATTGAAATACTATTGTTGAAACAGCTATCCGTTTAACAAAACTGATTGTTATTATTATTGATTTCTGTTTCTTTGATAATAAATCCGTTACTACATTTGCAAATCTTTAATAGTTTAGAATTCTTAATATTGTGCTTTCCTATGAAGACGTATTAAAGTTGAAAAGATCATAATGCTTTGTTTTGATTTTACACAATTATATCATTATGCTTTTTATAAAATAGAGTCTTTGTTAAAGGGTAGACAACGTTCATCAAACATAGTCGACTTTGGTGTTTAGAAGTAAAAGCATAAAAGCTGTACAGACATGAACAATGAAAAATATAACATGTAATGTTTTTATCTTTAACGTTGAGCAATTAGAGATCGCATTATACGACATGTGCATTTTATTGAAATAAACGATCAGAAACTGTTTTAGAATACTATGACTATATCTCTGTTATATATGTACCTGAACATGTTTCATTATCATGATTCAAAATGAAACCTTTCATACAAGAACACGTGGCATCTTCGTCAGCTAACACACAGAAATGTGAGCATGTCAAATTTTTGATACTCAAGCATGGGTCACACACTGAAAGTATTTATTACAAAAACAAGATTCCATTAAAATAACTAAACAAGCCAAGTTTTTTATATCATTACTTTAAGCTCAATCATCAAGAAAAAGAAATATAAAAAAAATCATTGATACTGGAAAGACCAACATTGTCTTTTTTTCATTATCAAATAGTTTTCTATCCTTAATTGAATATATGGTTTAGCCAGACATGGACCTGATGACTAAAATATTGCCATACTTTTGACTTCTTCATATTCATATTACTAATAAATACACGAAATCTTATGTGATCTTAGGCATCCTTTTTATTCAACTTTGAGTATTAAATAAATATGTAAAAATAGGAGATTAGAATCAAGCTCACGCAAAAGATATATACGCAGCACAAAGTTCGGCTCAAATAAATATGTTAGATACAAAACAATTTCAGGAAATGTTATGACGGATAACAATAATGCCAGCATTTGCCGATATTTTGAAATTTAAACATATCTCAGATATAGACAGCAATTACATTTTTCACAAGTTTGTCGATCATCGTTGAGAGAATATCCAAAATAACAGGAACACGAATAAAAGCCCAGATTATTTATACATCTTTGTGTACACTTGTCCAGACCCAATTCACATTCGTCCACATCTACAATACATACAAAATAAATGAAACTATATGAAATAAGCCGATGCAATACTACAAAAAGAAATCTTATCCACATCGCGGTTTTCATTTGAAAGACTCAGCTTAAAGTACACCTTTTTACTGCTAGCTAAGGATGTGAATATGTGCAGCCCGATCGTCAAAGATCACAGAGTGGGAATTTGTGCTTACAGATTTCCCACCTGATATGTAAACATTTCTATATTGTGACATTACAGCGTCAGCAAATTGATTTTGTTTGACTCAGTGGACTAGGGTGATGTTTTAGATTGCTTTAATGCAGTTTGTAAAAAGTTGAAATCCAAAGGAGGACGGGCTGTCTTAATAAGAGGGCCAAGAATGACCTAGTTTTTGACCACAGGTAATCCATATTCCAACTTGACCAAGAAATCACCAAAGCAAACTTTCGAACCAATTTCAAGGATATTTGGATAAAAATAGTAGCCATTAGACTGTGAAAACGATTTTTCAATGTTTAGCACTGTGACCTTGTTTTTCATCCGAAATGACCCATGTTTAAGCTCCTCTGAGCAATTACCTAGACAACCATCCTGAAACAGTTTAATGATAATTAAGGCACAATTGTGACCACTTGAGTGTTAACAATGATTTCCCATATTTCGGCGGTGTGACCTTGTTTTTTCATCCAAGGTAATTCATACTCAAACTTGATCTAGAAATCATCAAAAGATTAATCAGACCAATTTTCTGGAAATTTTGATCAATACAGTAGCCACTAGAGCGATAACACGATTTTTCTATTTCTAGCTCCTGTGATATATTTTTCGTCGGAAACGACCCATGTTCAAACTCTCATCCGAGCAATTACCGAGACAAGCATTCTGACCAAGTTTGATTATAATTGAGTCATAAATGTGACCACTATAGTGTTAAAAAGGTTTTTCCATATTTGGGCAGTGTGACCTACGGTTTGATCCCAGGTGACTAATGTTTGAACTTTTTACGTATTTACAAAATGTTACAACATTGTAATTACATTTTAATTGATTATTTATCAAGGTATGCATTTCCATAATCAACAGGGTTGCTAAACGTGAAGTAACTTATGAAGTATCATGTAAAGATAATTTCGTTGTTAACGTGAGGTATAAAGTGAAAAAATGGTAAAAATAAAATTCTTTCCTACTATTTATTTACATAGCTCTTTAGTTAAATATGAATCGGTAAAGAATCATGATAGACTTTTAAAAATCCTCGAATTAATAAAAGTACACATACGGTATTCTAAACATTCAATGTTTATAATCCGGACACTACCTGTGCAGAAGGTTCCATTTATTTTCGTATAACCTTCTCTGCATTTGCAAGAATAACTTCCAACAGTGTTAGCGCATTCCTGCATACAGTCATTGAGCCATGGATCAGCACATTCGTTTATGTCTATAACAAACAAATTATAAACCAAGATTCAAGAACAAATGAAATTGAAAAAAGGCAATATACTTATACTGGAATTATAAGAAAAAAAGGTCTTTGTTTTAAATGCAAAACATAGTTAAGATGTTAAGCTTATACACATTGGAATTTACAAAGCCCTAATTGCAGATATACCTAGTTGCAATCTCTATATGGGTGAATTTAAGATGCATTTATTGGAACCACCTTAAATAAGTTAGCTACTGATTAAATGCCTGGACAACATTTTGTCTCTTTCTACCTAGACAGTATCTTTTAACTTTGACTGAGAAAGTAAATACAAACAATACAAACGTATTTCCGTAACATATATAATACACGTCTTCTTTTAAAAAGAAATTTGAATGTGAAATCCATATGAAACTGACTGAATAATTTGATTGCTGCTAAATGCTATTGAATAGATTAAGGATTTTAAACTCGGGTATAAACGTTACAAAGAATGAGAAATTAAAAAACAAAACAAAAAAACCCATAAATTTTCAAGCTACATTAGGTTTATCTTTTTCATTTCAGATAAGAAAGCGTAAAGATATTCTGATAATGTATAAACAACCATTCTGTATGATCAGCTAACAAGATGAAATACCTTCACATTTTTGTTCATCTGTCAGCTGATATCCAGAGCGACAAGAGCATGTGTAAGAACCAAGACTATTGACACATGTTTTAAATGGATCATCACATCGTTCAAATGTTGCAGAACATTCATTAATGTCATTATCACATTTTTCTCCCTGCCAACCAGGCTTACAAATACAACCTTTAACTGGGTCGCATCTGTCTGCACCACGGCCTGTACAGACACATTTGTTTGCACAGTTGTCTCCCCAATAGGGAACAGCACAAGCTTAAATAACAATTGATAAATATGTGTGATAGGATCGAATTGAGAATATTTAAGGAAAATAAAGTAAGAGGTTTTTAAACGTTCTCCTTCAAACGACATAAGCGTATATAATTAAAAACTCTCTAAAATATAATTCTAGTAAACGTTTAGAATAAGTATTTGTTTTTACTCATTTAGAGAAGAAAAAAGTGTTTTTAAACGTATTTAGAAGAGAAAACGTCTCTTTTAAACGTTTTTATAATGAATTGAAATTATTAAAATGTAATGCTTATCATTGGAAATAAGTGACGACATTGAATGTTAAATAAAATGGCATAAATGTAGCAATACGTAAATAAGGTTGTATTTTACTTCAATGTACAAAATACTAAATCCCTATAACTATATTTATTGCAAAAAACACAAGAAAAGCTGAATATACTTAAGCTTTATGGTTAGTAAATTCCTTTTGAAAATTTCGGACAAACAGGCCCTTACAAAAAATAGTTAATTGAATAATAAAAATGAGGTTTTATTTTTGGGGCTTAATGGGCTTTTGAAACTACAAAACAGTCATCCACAACGCTACAACACAGAATAAATTATTGCTGCAGAAGGTGTGCAATCCTAGAATATCACAATATAACAATTGCGAAAAAAAATATATAAAGAACAACAATTTTTCATATTATTCATTGTATGTATACCTTTGCAAGTAGTCAAATCATGGAGCTCATAACCAGTTAAACAAACACACTCAAAACTCCCATTAGTGTTAACACAGTCATGCGGACAAACACCTCGGCTGCATTCATCTATGTCTTAATACAGAAATAATCTCATTTAAATCATCGAGATATTGTTCGTTCCTAAATCAAATCGTTATTGTCATAAAATAAATCAAGGTGTTTTTTTTTAAAAAATGTCGTAACCGTTTGCCCTGTTATGTAACAAATTGTTAGCCACATTTTAGTCTTCAATGTAATGTATCTGTTTATAGTATTTGAAGCATTTTTAAATATATATATTGTTATACGCAGTGGATTGCTTATATTAATTAAATACTTCATAACTGATATAAGCCATAAAGAATTCAATATTTCAAGTTTGTATAAAGGTAAATACTTTGAAATATTAGAATACATTTACAAAAAAAAAAAAAAAAAAAAAAAAAAAAAAAACACGGTGAAAGGAAAAGATAATAAATGATGACAATTTTTATCTGATACACGGTCTTACTGTTCTAGATTGTAAAACTGATATTTCAAGAAGACTTTTTTGAAAGGAAAAACTGATTAATCTCATGTGATCAAGTTCTATATTATAATATATATTTGTCAATGTCATTTCTCAAACGAATCAAAAAGAACAGTTAAAGTCTTTTAGATCAATGTTGATCAGATTTTAACACATCACAATATCTGAATATCAATGTTACCTTTGCAAGCTGTTTTTGTATCATCTAGCTCGAATCCGTTAGTACAGAAACATTCAGGCACTCCTCTAATTTTACTACAGCCACTTGTACCCGAACACGCTGTCTTTTCTGAATCATTGCAACCTCTCGCATCTACATATTATTTAATTTAGATTTCAAAATTATTAATCAGACATTGTATGGCATGTTTACATGTATTAACCATAATAACAGTCTCTACTATTGATAAAACGTGCTGAAAAGCGTAGCGAAGCGCACAAAAGGACGTTATAAGGAAAGAGATTGTCAACAGCTTGTAATTGACTAATCTACATATTTGTTCCAAACATCCATCATTTGATACATTTAGATACATATCTCGAATTATCAAGTTTAATAGTTTTTCCTAGATTACATTAAATTCAAATGTTTACCATATTAGCATTACTTTGAAGAAGTTGAACTATTGCTAAAAGTAAAATATGCATAGCAAAACATCCGTAAGAAACAAAACACGTATACTGCTTGGTTACCTGAATGTTCAATGCATGTCCAGGCAGAAATATCGAATTCGAAGCCCGGATAACACTCGCAGAAGAATCCCCCGTCGTTGTTTACACATTTATGTGTACAATTATGTATGTCTATATCGCATTCATTTATGTCTGAAAAAGATGTATAGTTAATGGAACTTTATTAGCGTGAAGGGGAAGTGTATTTCAAACATTATAATATAATTACCGCTACTAACGAATCAAATTACATCCATATATCGACCATAAAGGTACTTATTGGCTTTCATTTACAATAAATAAGTGTATTTATAAAGCTATAAATAACAAGTAGCCAGTATCACTTTATTTCTTTAAATATATTAGTAGCTGATTTTAATTTTGTAAGCTTCACTGATACAAGGTCTCCCCGTACTTTTTTTTAATTACCTTAAGTTTACACGTCTATTAATTACCTTTACACTTGTTTTTGCTTTTCAACTCATAACCACTCCTACAAGAGCACTCAAAGCTGCCTTCTGTATTTGTGCAAGTATGTTCACAATTATGTTCATTATTTACACATTCATCAACATCTAAAAAGAAAGTTTTGAAATCATCAATGCACTTTTTAAAAAAAAATCAGGACCATCGTTTTACATTTGGTGTAAGTGTACACTTTTGATACAAAACAATAGGGAAGGAAACAACATGCAAAGATCTTAAGTCGATAATGATGACTTCCTCAAAATGTTCTCGAAGCGTATAACAACACAGATTGTTATATTACGGCACATCAGTAGTTGCATTGGCAGTAACATAATTAGTGACGGTATTATTGAATCAAAATAAGGTTAAGTATTTTAAAACTTAAGTCCTTCGACATCAAACCCAAACAAAAAGAATAAAGACAACAGATACCAATAGGCGAATGAGGTTGATACGAGATGTGGTCCATCATTGTTCGTGCTTTATTATCTGAGTCTTGATAAAATGTCTCAATAATAAACATGTTTCTTAACTTTTAAATGTTATGATTATTTATGCTGAAATACATTTAGCATTAATACCGACTGTTTTGATCATTTGTCTTCATATTTTTTTTTAAATGTCTGCAGTGCAATACTTTAATTAATATATTAATAAAGTACCTATACATTCGGCTTTGTTATCTGCTTCAAAACCAGTTGGACACGGTCCACAAACATGTGACCTATTTTGTTTTTTCTGCTCATCTGCTGCAAGGGACTGGCACGTTCTTTTTAGTGAACATGGATTTGCTGCGCATGCGTCAAAATCATGCTCACAATCGTCTCCTGTAAAATAATTTAGAAAATGAACTTAACATAAGAAATGTCTGCATTCTTAAAAAGATATTAAACTTATATAAAAACACAAATATACATGTAGTTTTATGCAATTTTCCTGATTTAGCTTGTTGAAAGTTCTTACCTTGATATTGCGGCTCACATATACATTTGGCATATCTAAAATACCCTCCACCAATTTCATCATCACGTGTTTCATTGCTGCACGCGCCATGACCATTACACAGTGTACACAGAACGATATTTAACATGAAACTTGGGGAAGAGCGACCATTTTTGTTTTTCGTTGCAATGCTGTGTGTTAAACAAAATACTTATGAAAAACATGTGTTTTGTTTGGTAAAGAGAAGATTAAACTTCAGAATTAACACATTTTAATTTTGAACTGTAAAATATCCTATGCAATTAAAGAGATTATTATCCTCTTTCATAAAACATTCATGTATATGCCAGCAGGACAGAGAAAAGGGCAAATTATTTAAAAATAAAGAAAAAAAGAGTTTTTTAACTTATGGCTGTAACAATCGATACTTAACTTGCTTTTTTAAATATTTTAGAGGTATAATTGAAAGTAGAATATGTGTATGAACAATACAAACGCTATGGATAATATTTACCGAATCTTCACAGGGTCAACATTTATTTGGAAGTATGTGACTGATGAAGAAGTAATATCAATCTTTGCATCAACACTGTTTTCTAGGAAGAAGACTTCATCATCAGAATCGAAATGTATGCGACAATTTACATTTTGACCTTTCGTTGCATATATGACTTCACATCCAGAAAGCGTAGGCACTGTTATTTCTAGAAAAAAAATGACAAATTCTGTGTGAAAGTGAAAAGTGCAAATATTTAAACCCTTAAATATATATTCATATGCATTATATCGTAGGGATATTTATTTTTTATATAATTAATGTTTATATTGTCAATATGAATCGATTACTAAAATAAAAAATTGAATTAATTTAAATTGCCCACAATACCAAGTTCAGCCGTAGCAGAGTCTAACTCTCCTCTAATGATGCTTGTTTGGTTGGCTATTTCAATTTTCTCAGTAAAAACGAGGTCAAAAATACATTCGATATTTTGTGAGCCGTTACAAGCTTTTTCCGCTTCCAATATTTTGTAAGGATCAGCTTCATCAAGAAAACGTGGAATATACGAGTCATTATGGAAATCCAAATGCGATTTGCCGTCTTCATAAAAAAATGCGGAGTCATTGGCATTGATCGACCCTAAAATCAAGAATGACCTGAAGTAATGCACACATGTTAAATGATTAAAGTCACCTTTATAATCTTTAACTTTTTTAACAAAGTATATTTGATAAAGTTAAAATACATAATGATATGTGCAAACTATTTATACAAAACAGACAATTATTGGACAGTAGAGTTCCATTACCAATAAAATAAATATCATTGATCAGACAAGTCAAGATAATACAAAATAAAAACGGTCGTCATGACAACTTTCTATAGCTACAAAACAATATCTACCATCTCCCGTTTTGGTTTTTAATTTTCTGGAACTTGTTGTTACATCGAAGGTCAAAATGCTTCGCAGTAAGCAATCGTTTTGGTAATTATAGAGTTATCAAATTTGAGCAAGTAATATGATCATTTTCTTGTGTGATAATAACGATATTTAACAAACACTGGAACATACATGTCTTTCCGTACTCATAAATTTCTCGTTCCGTAAGATTTCCTTGGAGGACAGTTCCATTTGGCATTGTGAAGTCATTCCCTGGATTACCATCATAGTTTCCCAATAATCCAGTCGTCAGCCCATGAAATACCTTTGGCACCCCGGTTTTTAAAGAAAGCATTTCTACGTTCACTGATATATTGAGAGATATTCCTGAAAATTTAATGCATTAATTCAGTAATATGATTTTACTCTCACTAGTCTTATAACATTTTACTTACAACAAATGGTAAATACATTCATTTTTAGATCATTAAATAGAACATATTTGGCTCAATGTTCAAAAACAAATAAACTGAGTAAACAAGATTACTATTACCTAATCGTTAATATAAAAGTCAAGACTCTTACCACTCGTTGGCAATAAAACACTAAGAGTTTCATCCATTTTTGAAATAATCAACGTCCCACTCGACGGTTCCTCACGGATATGAAAAGATTGAGACTCAGTGTCGGTATTTGCATAGAACTGGCTAGTGATGTCAACATTGTTTGCGTAAATAATCATGCCTAATAAAGAATGAAGCAATAATATGCAGACTTCAATGATGATAAACGTATCGTAATATGATAACATATTTTAATAAAAGAAATATATATTTGCAAAGTTATAATATTGATGTAAACAACTTTTACATTTCTCTTTAATACAAGATAATTATGTAGCTGGAAGGATATCATAAGATGGTATACTGGTTGGAGAGAGATAACCCTGACACTTGACAAATAATATTCTTCTAACCAACAAACATATAGTAACCTAGAAATAAAGGAGCATGACAAATGAAATTTAAAGATGTGGTAAATGTTTTAATGTATATCAACTTTTTATTAAAAAACTGCCTCAAAAAATTTAATACTAACCTGCCATAGTCTTGATGACGGGCCACTGACTTGGGAAAGACTTTTAAAATAAGTGTTGACTTTATTTACTGTTGCAGGGTGAAAATAATACATGTTTGGGATACCTCATTTAGGACCTAAAGGAATATCAGTTTCCATTTCCAAACATAAAGTTTGTTGTGCATCGTAAACTTTTTGAACCGAACTTTGTTTCGGTGGGTCAATGAATGAAATATACAGATAATTTAGATATGCACAAAAATATGCGATTTAGTGCTGGAGTTATCTCCAACCAGAATATTTTAAACTGACACAAAACAATAATGTCGGGCAGAAATAAGATTTTTATTTAGCTATAATAGTCAATGTCATCAATCTTATTTGAATGAGATTTAACTTTTATATCATAAGATTTGAAGTTAAATAGTAATTAAAGCAAGTAAATTAAGTAGAAGGTATGTCTAAGAGATTTAAAACAGTGCTAGAATTTATGAAATTCGAGATGATATTTAAGTTCCCCGTATTCCAGTCTAATTTATTTTAATTTGTATTCTCGCATGTTTCTTTCGGAGAACATCGTTTATGACGTCAGATATTGGAACAAAACCCCCAATGTATAACACCTTATCTATAAGATAAGTGATGTAAAAATCCTTTAAAGTAATCTTTATTACATGTATATTAAATTTGACTTCATAAATATACTCTTATTAACTATTTAAACTATCTTAAATTTTTAAACAGAATTCTTTGTTAAACGCTGAAAAGAATGTCCCAGTACCTAGTCTAATTGTGTAAGTTAGACTTCTTTGAAGGTTTTCATTGTTTTTAAATTTTGTCAAGCACTATAGCTGTAAACAGTATTGATCAGTTAATTCTATATTTTCAATATAAAAGGTGTAACGGCAACACTATTGTTTGCAACATTACCTGTTGCCATCTACTGTATACAAAGATATAAGTGAAATATTCTAGCTGACAATCAAATTGTAGATATGTTGAAATAACATTACCTATGCTAACAAAAAATACCTGTTTTTGCTTTATTAAGCTCAACATGGAGAGAAGTATTTGAAGATTCTTTCACGGCAAATGCGCTAAAAACTGTGGCGTCTGAAAGGCTACCATCCTTTTTAAGTGCCCTTTCAGTTCTTGCTTGGATGTCGAGAGTAAAGTTATCGGTGTCAACATGTAATAACGTATACTCGCCAAGACCGTTGAATGTAAAATTCTTTCTATCTAAAGTTATAAAATGTGGATCGCCCCAAAATGCACCTAAAGATAATAATTATAAAATGATAAACGTTATTTTACTCAAAAATTACCAAAATGTTGAATAATATTGAATAATATTTTCATATGCAAAACCTATCGGTAATGTTTAAATTAAACATGTGCGAAGCTTTTTAATGTTTACTCAGACAGTTATGAAAAATTTAACTTCATATTAATATTCCTTCACAACGTTTGAAATAAAAAAAGTATAATAATTATTATGTGTTTATATTCTTTAACAATATATAAGCAGTTTAGTCAATGGTATAATGATGATCATAAAACTCACTTACCGAAGTCATATGGTGAAGAAACATAGCACGACCCAGTTGGTCTTAGCTCGTAGAATAAGTTGCAATGATTTGAGTAATCACAGCATTTTTTCTTGTAAACAACATCATTTAAAAAATGCTCTGTTTGAAAATGCGGGTGGTAAAATTGAAACCCTCCAGCATAGGGACGTTCATATACCCAGAGCCATGTTTTAACGTCGTAACAGCATGACTGAAAATTAATTGGGGTCAATATTTCTAACTAAAATGACTAATTGGGTCGGGTGTTTATATTAATATGTTATTAATGTTATTGTTAGTACATGTTCACATATAACTATAATAAAAGATTTACTTACTTACTTACTTACTTACTTACTTACTTACTTACTTATATAAGATAATTGAACAAATGTAGATACTTGATTTAAGACGTTTGAATACGTTTTAATTGCATTTGAATCAAGTATTGGAAGTGATAAAGTCATCAGTTTTGCCTAAAACACAAATACATTCCTTCTTTTCAACTTACTTTTCCAAAATGCCTAAATTTTCCAGCAAAGGGCATATCTACACAGATATGTTTTTCATCCTTCCTTGATTTTTGTAATCCTATTTTCCAAAACCAAGGATCGAAACGAGAGAGCCATATATCACATGGACATTCTGGCATAAGGCTTGCGAGATAATCTAGGTTCTTCTTCTTGTCAAAATTGTCGTTATACCAATTAATACAATCAACAGCATCGTTTTCGTAATTCCTGTTTAGCTGATGCAAGGGTTTAAAGACAAGTCCATCAACATCTAAAGGAAGAAAATTTTCTATTTATATTTTTTTTTGTGGAGACTCAAACTCAATTTTTTAATATGACCGTAGAAAGCACACTTACTTTAGTTCTGTTAAATGATATTTTTACATTTTGTTCTTTAATTAAATATTTATACACATAAGATAATAGAAATGTAACTACATAATGTACGGACGTACCGTTTTCTGTTGAGGATACATCTAGTTGCCTGTCTAGATATAAAGCTTGAGAATTAAAGGCATAGGGATGTGTATATGGTTGATCATTTTGAACATTATTGCCAACCCATACGGGTGCGTTCGATTGATTTTCCAAATCCCTTCGTACCCTTCGTTTCCAATTCATTAAACCGTGTCCATAAATGTATAACATGTACGTTGATTTTCCGTCCGATACAACTACAGCTTGAAAAGTGGATTTCTAAAACATAAAAATGTTGTTTCAGAGAAGGCTTAATGAAACTGAGACAGCAATACCTATCAATTTTGGAATGTGAAAATTGATTTTGTTTGTTTGTGGCGAAATCTAATTTACATTTGGCCATATCTCGGCATCTGTCCGCAAAAATATGTTGCATAGATAACTAACCAGTAATGCAAAAGACCGAATACTGATCTCACATGATTTCTGAATCAGTGGTAATAAATAGCCATTTGAAACAATGTCCAAGATCAATTATCACGGAGAAATTTCCTCCTCTCTCCCGTTGAATAAACCATCCTCCCATGAATTTTAAATGTATTCCCTCCTTTAGCCCTGCGGGCGACTAGTTAGCTGATGAAAAAGATAGATGCTTTTTGATCATAAAAGCAATTGAAAAAGACACGTTCAAAGCAATAATTGTTGTTACAAGTAGAGCTTATTTTATAAAACACTGCCTGTCTTTTTTATAATTTAAAGTGATTATATTAATTGCTGGTGCATTGTCGGAAAGAATGACTGTAAAGTATTTTTGAAACAGAAGGTATAACATATTTATTTAATATTCGTACAAAATATAAAAGCTTGAATGACAACATGATTTAATCTATTCTGCTCAGTTTTGCACATTGAATAAAGTGAGCCAATTGTTAACATATGATGCAAAATATATACAATTCAAAAAGGAGAAAAAGGAGATAAATACGAATGAACAAATATGTAAATGTGTTTTTAGAGCCAAATATGTAAACATTTTATATTACGCTTTTTAAAATATTATGTTATAAACAAATGTCATTTTCCTTTCCACCAGGGCCATTACAAATATACCTTTCTAAGTTCCCTCCCAATTCTAAAACTGGGCCTTGCTATCATTAAAACATGCACGTACCTTTGTAGAATCAAATCCTGCACTTGTTGTCTTTGCTTCATGCCAGGTGGCTATCATTACAAAGCTGGCATCGAAAGTTTCCCTCTCGCCAAACTTTATCACAATATTCTCTATGTAAGATATCAATTCTTCATCCTCTTTCATTTTGTCATACGAGTTCAAGATATCATATGATCTAAAGTAAACAGGGCCTGATGATCTTTTATCAATGGGACCAAAGAATGGTGCAATGATGGTTTGATTGCCGATTTCAATAATACTGTTTATATCTTCTGGCGGAGTCGGGTTTGTGTATTTCGTATCAAAACTTACAAGGCCATAGGAACTTACCTACAATAAAAGCGATACATAAATGAGACAATTCACTTAAAGCAACAACAGTAGAATATGTTTTATGATATAGTAAAAGTTAGAACATATTTTTTTTTAAAACACATATAATTAACATAACACAATGGGGCAAAGTGGATAACATTTAGCAACTATTTATGGCATTATTACTTTTACTCGAAACTTAAAAAATGAGAAAAGTTGAATACCTTCAGAACGCCCAAAAGTTGAAAATGATGTTTAGGCTCGATTTGATTGAGCCGTCTTTATTATTACATATTCGTACTCTCTCAAAATTATATATCATTTTCAACAAATAAACAATAAACATGAACATAAAACATTTGACAATATTGGTTCTCATTTGACCTGTTTTGTTCAAACATGATTCTCAAGTTTAATCGGAATACAAAGGCCATATTTGTGCCTGCTTATTTTTAATGAAGAACATGAAATAATAAAGAGCTTTATTTAAGCCTACAAATATATATAAGCAAAGATGGAAAACAATCTTTATTATTGCATTTAACAAGTACAAGCTTTCACCAAAAGAAATGTAGTATTTTTACGAGAAACATGCGCACATGTTATAACCGAATAAAGGCTTCCAAAAATCAGGAGGACTGTTCGATTGGTTTGAAAATAGAAGTAAGTAATTATCTTGAAATAACCCTTCTTGTACTGTAATGTTATTCATTTGCACCCGCAAACTTAATTGATATATCAGATATGACTTTGTATCTACACTACTATCTTGAATGTTTTTTCTCTATTGACAGGGATTATTTTTAAATAAACAATATTTTCCATGACTGTTGTTTACACTTGGTTTCTTAAAATATGTTTACTATAGATTGTCTTCTACTGTCAGTTCGTTAAATGTATACTTACAAACAAATGTTTACGCATGGAACCAGATACGGGCATTCCGGGCAGAAATGATAAAGCAGGTCCACACACATCAGCCTTTGATATAGAATGATCCCCTTCATCAATCCCGTAAGGTAATAGAGGCACTTATGAAATACATATCATTAGATAATATATAGATGTAAGTAATTTAATACAAAACATTTGAACGATAAACCGTGCATAATTTACTACAACGAAAGAAAAAAATTGACATATATGTCTATTCTAACATCCTGATAAAAATTGATAACGTATGTTGAACTTTATTGAGCGGATGAGTAGCTTTCCTTTTTCGGACGGCATACGTTTATTGACGTCACGTTTGACGTCTTGTGATGTAGAAACATTTTAATGTCAGGTATATATCGTGAATTAATGAATTCGATCTTTCTGTTTAGTAGGGAGGAGTGTGGAGCGTGTTATAATATATGTTATATTAACACCATTCAAACATTGTTTTGGATTTTTCCTCGCACCAACACTGTATAAGTCATATGGTGACTTACCAGCTTTACTGGTGGAAGATGACCTTACCTGTCCCTTTCTGCAATATTTCAGACATTTTTAGAAGTGACTATTGCAAATTGTTTTCCGATCAAGGTTTTTTTTGTTTTTGTTTTTAAAAAAGGCATTATTGCAATATGTATTACATATATGCACTTAACGAAATAATGACAACAAAAGAAGTATTTTTTCTATTATTGTGAACACTTTCGTTTACCTTAATTCAAACTGCTATAAAACTATGAAAAATGCTCCAATACTGATGAAACTTGGCACAATATACTTTAAAGATGTTCCAATGATATTGTTTATCTTCATATAAGCGATATTTTCAAATCAGAAATGAAAAAAACTTTTTTGAACTGTTAGATACTTTCAGTTTCATTTACTAAATTGCTATACTACATATTTTTATACATTCTGTTCAATGTTCTTCCCGGTAACGCGTAATAATTCAGACGTCATTATAGGGGTTACCTAATCCTATTTTATTGCATATATAGGCATGTAAATATATAGAAAAACAAATTGATTTAGAATTAACAAATGGAAAAAGGGGATCATTGTAAATAAATTCAGTTTTCCGTTATAATGTTATTTTTATCTTTCATGGTAAATAAACCACGCTTGTCAGTTATAATGTTTCTGCTAATGTTTATAGAAATTACAAAATGTCATTCTAGTAGTTCAAATTTGTTACTTCTCAGCCTCGGTAAGCTTCGTGTATATTCCGTGACAAAATGTAAAACCTGACTCGTAGTTTTTTATTTCGTGATGTTTTCAATGAAAATAAAAGCCGCGATTTCCAAATCTACAGTTACTGACATAGTAAAGCATGCGAAATAGCTTACTTTTATCACATATCTTTGATTTGCTGTTATGTATCCCTGTGAGACATTTACATACTGAGTCGATACACATAGAACCGGCCATCAAACAATACTCTATACTAAGGCAAGGTCCTCCAACATCGGCTGGAAAAAAGTATAAAACTATTAATAGCAACATCTATAGATTCAAGCACATTACTGTCTGTAAAGTAATTAACATAATTATTTAAAAAAGAATAAAATATAAGTCTCAAGCGTGTTACACTCATAACACTCATAAAGTAAAACGTTGCTGACATCCATTCATTGTTGGCCTGTTACAAAAAGGGATTTTTGGTGTCAAAAGAGTAAAAGGCTCAAATGTAATAATAAGAAAGTGGAGTGGAAGTCATTGTTACCGAATTACATTTTCATATGATTTTTCAAGAATTCCAAGATGTTGGCCTACTGAAACTAGAATATATAATTATGAATTTTTTACTCTTTGGGCGTTTTAATTTTTATATTTCATTATTGCCTAAAATACATATGCATCCTTTTTGGAAGCATGACAGATGTGTTTGATTGCCGAGGACAGACCACTTTTACGAGTGTCCGTAAACTCATTAAGTCCTATTAAGCTTTTTAATACACATTGATTAGTTTGTTGATTTGAAATTTATGACTCTCTAACATATTTAGTCTCTTCTGTAAGGGGGTATGGTTTCATTTTTTTAAATACCATGTGTCGGCTTTACAAAACGGAAGCACTTTTTCTAACCACTTATACTATGTTGAAGAAAATTATTGTTCGATGGTATATTCATGATACAAGATATATCAATTGCTCACGAAAACGTCGGAAAATAACCATTAATGAAAACTCATACCTGGACTATAGTGAAACAATAGCATATAAAGATTTTGACAATTATTCTCACATTTTTTCTCACATATTGGAGGCTCACTACTCCACTTGCCGTCATCTCCACAAGTGCTTGTCTTTTTTCCAACCAAAAGATAGTCCTCATTACAGCTGAATGTCACTGCAGAGTTGTATTCATTACCGTCAGAATCATCCATAGTACCATGTAGAGGCACAGTATGCTTTTGACAAACTTTCATTAGATAATACATTAATTAATTCACGCAAAAAATAGATAATTAAAAATAAATAAATAAATAAATAAATAAAAAAATAAATAAATAAAATATGTGAAAAAAAAATAGAGACATGTTTTGTTCACTCTTTGAAGGTAATTGAAATTATGGTATTGGGATGTTTTTAACAAGCTTATTTTATACAAACCATTTAACTTATGTTTGAAATTTAAGCGTTTCGACAATACATCAACCGTTAGCTAAAGTCCTTTAAACATAACAATATACAAACATTTACCAATAATCGACATTTCGATGATGCACTCCATTTCCTTCCATTTATGCACGTGATCACACTGTCACCTTCAATGTTATACCCACTGTAACATTCTATCTTTACATAATTGCCAAAGACAAACTCGTCACCTCCATCTGTGTCAGTTATCTTTCCGTTGTACGGTGTAGGATCATCACAGACTTAAAAGTATTGTAAAATCATATCAATAGTCATCATTATAAATATTGTCATTATTTCAGTCAACAGTTGTTATATGATACTTATAATGCTTATAAGTACACACTTTTCAAGCTTTTATCTGTCTTTCAATTGGCGTTATGATAATTTATTTGCTGTCAAGTTGAGTTCAATTAGTATTACTTAGTATATTTCAATAGATTGACAATAATAATTATAGTAAGAGACCAATAACTGATAATGAAAATTGTTACTGATACAACATCTAAAATCATAAAAATGACTACCCAACTCTATACAAGGATTGAGAGTAGCACGATGTTTACAAAACCTGTTGGTCACGTGGATTATTGGTTTTGTTTTAACTTATCAAATATAAAATTGTAACACAATTATGGTAAAACGTTAAGTAATTTTTTTTTTTTACCTGTTCACTGACCATTTCACTCGGGTGGGCATAAAGCCATTTTAAAGCTAAACGTAAATGATTATCAGCAGGATGAAGGCACTATCTATTAATTACAGCACAACAATATTTTAAGAAACGGCGTTAGTTACATGTATATGCAAGTATACCTTGTATTTGACATGACACAGTTTTTTCCCATCCATCTGATGTACAAATAATTTCTGAAGAACCTTGTAAATCATAACCATCATCACACTTGACAGTAGCCAATGATCCAATACTTGTACCAAGTGACGTATTCACTTCACCATTCGCCACTGAGAATCGTCCACAATCTAACAGAATAAAATAGTGAGTACATAGCAGCACACTCTTCTACTCATAATTAAGCAATATAACGAGTTTTTTTTTTAAATTTTTTATAATTGAATAAGATATAAATTTTACCTGCTGTATCACATGTAGGATAATCTGTCCATGTTTCATCTTCTTTGCATTCAATTACTGGTGTTCCCGTCAAGATATAGCCAGGCGCACATGTTATCTCTACAACTGTTCTATATGTTGTCTTTGTACTATTTGCAGAGCCTTTGGCCGGAACAGGATCACCACAATCTGATAACAATTATAGATAAGTCTTCTCTTCATTATATCCCAAACATATCGATCGCATAGAAACTACCGTCATGCAGATTCAAGGCAAGTCAAAAGTAATACTACGGAAGATTCAAAGAAATACAAATATTCAACTGTTTTGAAAAAGATATGAAAATAATTGTCGAACACGTTTTTCAAAGGTTTTTGTCCTGTGACAGTGAATGCATTTTTGCAGTAATATACATGCATTCTGTTTATTTACATGGTAAAAAAGTATTGCAATAAATCATTTTTCAATCGATCATTTTTAATATATAATTTTTCTTACCAACAATTTCGCAGTCAGTCCACTTTTCCCATGAGCCATTGGATAGACACATAACATTTGAATTCACTTTTGGGTTATAACCAGTCCAGCAACTTATAATCGCTGATTCACCAAATGTAGTTTTGTTTCCAATCAATGTTACATGGGCATTGTTTGGCCTTGGTACTTTACAGTCTAAACGTATGTTTTACATGTCAAAAATATTTTTAATCAACTATTACAATCAAGACACAAGAATATTTTATTATTGATATAACTGGTGTAGATTATATTTTAAGCTAGTTTAGTGTCGTTAAGAAGATTTGAATCGATGTGTCCATTTTCAAATTAAAATGTTTTTTTACGAAAAATCTACATGCTATTTCGTACACTATCCTTGCCTTAAACAGTCGAAATTAATAAATCATATATGTGTACACGCTGTGTTTATTGCTATTTAAGGGAACAGAAAATGATTTATTTCTACTTTTTCAAGTTTGAAAATGGAACATTTATTTTTTTTAAACTTATTTCCAAAGGATTGAAAATCAAATATTAATTTTTGAAAACGAGAGGTTTTTACCAACGATGTCACAAGCTGGGTTTTGTGTCCAAGATCCATTTGACTGGCATGTTATAACTGCTTGACCTGATAATGTATAACCATTGTCACATGATATCAGAGCAACTGTTCCGTTTGTAGTTTCTGTCGTGTTAACTTTCCCATTGGCAGGTGTTTGGATCACCACAATCTATTTGTAGATAAAATAGAATTATAATTATAGTATCTAATGAAAAGTGGGTACATATTTTCAAAATCCCACCAATCTTTAGAGTAAATAGAAACTGATAACTTTTGAACTTAAAGGAAATCTATTTTGTCCGATTGTTGAAAATATTTGATTTTACAAAGATCGAGGACAAACGTCGACGAAAAAAAATAGCATATTACACTTACTATTTTATATACTATGGTAATAATATTAAAGTTAACAGATAACCTTTAGTAACGGTCAACAACCCATATTCACTGTATAAGTAAAGTGTAGAAAACGTAAAACCTAGAATATTTAATATTTACAATCAATCAAATCAATTTATATCGGGAGCCTGGACAACGTTACAATGTACACGTCGATGAATAATATATTCTTACATCTATCAACACAACAAAGGAAGTAGTGTGTGGAGTTATATGAACGTAATAACGTAAGTGTGGATGATAAAAGCATAGCAATCCTAAAAGGCTACCGAAGTAAGTAATTTCACGTAACAAAGAACATGTAAATGAAATCTTTAATAAATAACCTCTGAACGTTACTGAGGACAACATTATTTATTAAATGCATGAGCATAAAATCTCACGAAATAAAAAAAATAAGATCATCGTTTTTGCTATGATAACTAGAACTTTACCAATTAGTTTACATCTCGGTTTATTGGTCCACTCCCCATTTATCTGACATATGATATCACTTTTACCATCCAGTATATGATCTTTATCACAAGAAACATGGACTGCAGCACCATAATTTGTCTTTGTCGAGTTTGTAAAGCCATTGTTTGGTGTTGGGTTACCGCAATCTACGGAAAATGTAATATAAAACAATAATGTTATCCATGAATAATCTATTACCGTAATTTATGGTGCTATAATTATTATGAATCTAAGTTGTTGAGCGTTTGTGTCAAGTTTATATTTCAGATATTCCCGTACAAATCAATTCTAATGAAAGGACTTGTTTTGATAAATCGGGATAATTAACTAAATTCGAAAATAAAAACTCTTGCTATTGTTCTGTGCTTAATATGTAAAAGATGTTATCAAAGAAATGAATATATATTTGTTTAAGAATATATATAGAAATACCTTAATTATAACGTATACACTAGCCACATAAATGATTGAAAATTAGGATTATACAAACCTGTACATACAACAGCTATATCGTCATCATGGTTACAATTATCATATGTTTCGTACGTGCAATTGTTTAAATGGACCGCGTCTTCATGACAAATTAGATCGTCAATAAATATTGGCCCTTTACCTGCTCCAAAATGTGATTTACCATAAAATCCCATTGCTGGCCTGCAGATGGAATGACTTTATTAAAAAATAACGGCATAAGTGTTTTTGTTATTGCTTTATCTTTAAAAAGCAGATAAATTGAATCCCAGTAACTGTTTTAGCTTAAAAAAAGCTTTTAGCAACAATTTGAGACACTAGTAGATTTAATTCTAATTACAGCGAGTAATTAAAAGATGATGTTGTGGTATCTTTTGCGTTTGAATGAACTGTTAATTTAATCTAACAGTACCAGTATATACTAAATTATGTCAATGTTTAAGTCTCAAACTTCCCATTACATCGATTTCTTGTATACCCAACCAATCATTTCCGCGTAATAGGGCCAAACGTCTTTAATATGCAGATCTGAAAATCTTCATCAAGTTAATATGTGTTATGCAATCTTGAACAACGGCAGCATATCCAAATTGCGCCTATGAAAAACCTTTTTACACATATAACCACCTTGTTTACTTTTTTATTACAGTATGCATTTTACTGTGCTTCCAGTGTGCCTTTTTCAGCCTTTTTCCAAATCAACCAATTAAAACAATGAACACATTTTTATTATCATGGAGAAATGATAATCATTATAAAACACTGACATTAAGGTTAAAAATAACAAGGCAATATGCCACTTACGGGTATCCAAGCATTCGACATATAACATTAGCTTCTTGTATTCCGAAAGCATTACCGCATACTGTTCCCCACGTATCCAAAGACTTGATCTCGACCCTACCAGCTGTTGAATTTGGTCCGTTAACAAGCCGTATGTCAGTGAGATCTAGCGGAAAATCTGTATAAAACTTGCATATTATAAAGTCGTTAAAGAACATCTGTTTAACTTATGCGCTACAAGAAGTAGCATCTTTTCTATAGGTATTAATTACCAGTTTGACCCTTTCAAGTATTGTCCTTTTAAATTATATGAATATTCTTCCAAAACGTGTTTGATTGTGTCTTGTGCCATTAATTATTTGAAGGTTTTTATTCTAACCATCAAATGCTGAATTGCAATATATAATTAGGTTATATCAAAGCTTTAATAAACTTTACACATTTAAAGTTAAATGGTGTAAAATCTTACATAAAATAAACCTATTTACTTCACAATTTACATCTACCATTCACATAATAATTTGACTTATACATACTATACTCTTGACACTCCCCTTCTGTTACCCACTCTTGTGTTTTATTATTACACGTCAGTTCTAATTTCCCAACGTAAGTCTTATAGTATGAGCAATCCGCAAACAATGTCGTGCCATTGTAGGTGAAAAAATCAACGCCCCAGAAAAATATATCAGGTTGTCCACATTCTTATAGAAAAATGATTAAGTTAACATGATTGATTTGTTATGAATTGATACATACTTTAAAAAAATATAAATATATAATAAAGATTAATTCTTATTGAATAAAGCATTGGTCTTGCCAATGATTTGATATATAGGTCATTAGACTTATCTTATAACATGTACTTATTGAGACGGTATTTGCAAGTTTTTACTTAATAATACATATTAATAATTTTGCTTTTATCTACAATGCTCTGCTTCGTATTCCTTAAAAATCAATATGCTAAGAGACGAAAAAGTGACTTACCGTTACAAACAACAGAGATATCTCTAGCATGACTACATTCATTGAGAAACAAATAGTTACAGTCGCTCAGAGTATAATCGTAGCTATTGCAGAAAAGTTGATCAATAAACACAGGACCACTGCCTTCTCCATATATGGCTCCAGTGAAATACTGAGCTGCCCTTTATATTAAGAAGGTGAAACATTAAGCTAAATTGTTATACTCTACCATTGAATTGCTATCAATTCATTGATCATTTATTCACATTGATAATGTAATTGCATTTTATTCTTCCGAAATAGAAGAAATACATGTAAAAATGACGAACAATGAAGTTTGCATATGTATTGAACATGAAAGCACTCTACATCGTTATAAAAGAAAGAAGCCAGAAGATAAATTATAGACTCTGGCAAACTGTGAAATTCTCTGTAAGTAGGAAACGTTACCAAAATGGTTGTATTTATAATATTGTCTTGTCTGTCATCTAAAATAAATGAAGCTTAAAATATGCCCAGCCTTAATATGACAAGCCCTTTTTACAATAGCAGCCCACCTTATCTTAGTCATGCATCAGCGTATTTCTAGGCATGCAAACAATGCAAATGATCTTCATTTATTTCAATTTCAACGTGATACGGATGCATAAAACAACATATATTATCTTTCAAAGAGGGACGTCCATCGAAGTGGCTAAGGTCGTTGATGAATCACGAATGGGACTTTGGATTCTTTCATGTGAGTAAAATATCCACCTATTATATACTAGTACTCAGGTGCCCGTTCGTACCTGAACTAATGCACGGAGGGGAACCTGATATCTTCCTAGTATGACTAGAAAGTTGCCATATAACATAAATGTGTTAGAGCGACGTAAACCCCAACCAAACAAAAACCCAAACAATAACTTTTAAAGCCCTAACGTTTACCTCAGACCAAGTATCCTACAGAATAAATCTGCAGCTTGAATGTCAAAGTTATTATCACAAATAGTGCCCCATGTATCGTTTACTTTTATTTCAGCACGCCCGTCGTGAATACTTGTACCATTCACAAGCCTAGCATCGGTTATATTTAATGTCGGTCCTAAAATAATACGAACATTATATTTTTAAGTTTATTGTTTCAAAGAACTAAGACAATTTCCAAATAAACTGATTTCTGTTAACATGAAGCTGACTCTAACTGAAATATACGAGGGCTGTCCGGAAAGTTCGTAGACAAGGCTATTGAATTATTATAAGCAGTCATATTAATATGATGATTGAATATTTTGCTAAAGTATTTATCTGCTACATATTTCTTAATTAAAAAACATGATAAAAGAAATATTCGCAAAGCGCTGATCACCATGGCAACATGATCAACGAATGACGGAGCACTTTGATTTCATGACAATAGCTACTTGAATGATAAATTGCTAAAAGTTGTAATTTTAGCGCAAACTCTCGTTATAATTTTGTGACTTCATGAGATACTATTACATGATGTTTAGTGAAAATTATGACGTCATACGCAAATAAACAGCTTGTTAACGACGATTATAGGCAATGATGGTGCATAAATTTTGTGTCGCAAAAATGACGTCAAATTCACGGACGGAGCAACGTAATGATATTCAACTTCATAGCAACGCTAATATGGCACCAACTTAGATTTTAATCTTTACTTTAAAAACAAAACCAACCATAAAATGTTAAAGGCAACTTGTGTTTAAATGTCAAAAAAATTAATAAGCGGCGATGACAGTATATCGTATCAGAAGTACTCCAGGCGACCAAAGGTAGCATGGCCGAAATATCGTATATTGCGTTTCAGCAAGCTTTGAAAAAGACAGACATCTCAGGCACTGTATAGGAACTTGTGACATCTTTTTTTTAAATAAAAATTTTAAATATGAAATTCATAAAATAAAACCAACATAACATGTATTAAGTATACGCCTGACAGGTACCATGGCTGTTGAAATCAAAAGAAATTGAATAGCGGGTAAACATGAAGTTATTAATTTGACGCCGTTGACGTTGTCAAAGTGCTCCATGATGATGTATATATGTTGTATGTAATTACTGTTAAAATACAAATGTAAGTCACATTTTAGTAATTTTTAATAAATGTGTTCGCTAGATATCTATAATTTTGCTGACAAAATTTGTACAACGTATGTATGGTTATACAATAAAAAATGAAGAAGTATATGAACTTTCCGGACATCCCTCATTTTCATTCAAAATATAGTTAGATATCAATTTTAGTTAAAATAAATAAAACATGAAAAGAAACATGTATTGCCATTCATTCTTTTAAAAGTGGAACCTGTTTAATCCGAACTCGTCCGGACAAGAAGGAAAGTTCGGATTAGAAAGGTTTCCAGATATCAATATTTTAACAGAAACGCATATGAAATTGCAACTTAAAAATATTATTTTTTCCAATCTTGTAAACTCATATCCTTCATTTTAATACACGTGAATAAAAAATAAATTAATTAACAAAAATGTTAAAGGGCAAATTCTTCCTTATGTCCCTAAGAAGGACCCTGAGATATGATTAAATATTCGTACCGGCATTTGTCAATAGTTGTTTTTTTCTCTTACAGATTTGTGTAGTATCCGAATTCACTGACAGTTTCCCTTATTGTCATTGATTGCCTAGACTTAACTCACATGATTAGAACAAGAACTATTCAATGTATACAATTACCGTAACACACAACTGACACATCATCGCTATGGTCACAGTTATAGTAGTTATTTATGGAATAGCGACATTGGTTGAAATGAGTGGCATAATAGCCACAGTCTAATTTGTCTAAGTAAATTGGTCCACTCCCATGCCCATATAATGGATGATAATGGTAATTTTCATACCTACAAAGGAAATAATATTATAAGAATATTCAAGGCCGAAATGATATAAATGAAATTATACACTAAATAAATAGTATACATGTATTTAAATTTGAGTATTGCTCTGTAAATTCTTTCTAGCCTAGATTAATTTATAAGTAGAAAAGAAAACGAATTAAAAATAATTGAGTTATACTATGACGTGTCAACGTACTTGTTAAATTTTATTGGCATTATATACTTGTATCTACTTTGCAAGTTTAGAGCAATGAACTTCAATCGTTTGCACCATATGACCGCCCTGTACAAAGCATCATTTGAACCAATTAATTCAAATTTTATCAATGAAGCCTCATTTTAAAGATCCTGTATGTTGTAATTGAGCTTTTCCACACTTAAGTGAAAAAATTATATATACATGTATGTATATAATTATGCTTATAAAACAATTATTAAACATCGGAGAATATGTAAAATATGTACCGCAAATATGTGTACATATATGTAATCATTAAAATGTATGCATTCATTTCCTTTTGAAAAATTTGACTATACAGAAAATAAATGTTTTATTACCTCCCTTCATTTATATGAAATGTTAAATTCGGTATTGTCTTTATAAATAATACTTGTAGGAACTTTCAAAATTGATAACTCTTAATTTAAGATATAAAACCATACAAAAATTTGTGTATTACAGGATCTTTAATATACCGAGTCAAGCAATTCCAATTTCCGTTACGTGTTTTCGAGTGCAAAATGTCTATTTAAAATCCCTAATGTATTTCATCTTGCCTAATTTTCATTTTCCAAGTCCCAAAACGTATGTTTAAAATCTATGTTGTACTCGAAATAAGTCTTCATTTAATTACAACATATTCGATATTTTCTTTAATGAAATGTAAAACAGGAGCGATCGGTGATCACATGTGTCGCCTAATGATATCCAATTGCATGTTTTAGGCAATGTGTTGCAGGAGACACATCACCATTAACAGGCTTAAATGTTTTATTATTCAAGGGTCAAAACTATTCAACCATAAAATCCGTTAAATGTGTGCAAGTACTTGAGATAACCGATCAATCTTGTAAAATTTCATTCAAATTATATCAGAATTATGAGAGAAATAGTCCGTATAAAACTTAAAAAAATAGGAAAAAACTTAAAACAATGAACCGGAAAATGTCGATGATACACATAACAACACTTAGTACTGATCATTCGTGTAAAATTTAAATTTGGATGACATTGCAAAAGTAGTTTTTGAGGAGTAGTCCGGAACAAACTTTAAAAAAAACAAGAGCCCGGTTTGAACCGTGCGATGCTGCCCGAATAGGTTTCAGACACAGGAAAATACATTTCATGTAGTTTCAGTATCATGTCCCTTGACAAAGTTTAAAGTGTGATTTTTCCAGAAAAAGGCAAGGCAGAGTAACTGTTCTGTGAACTAGACTTCTAATAAATAAGACCTATCTACATACAAAGATTCTTGTTGATACCACTCATGCTTTCGGAGTTATGTCCCGGACAAAGTATAAAATGTAAAAATGAACAAAGGGCAAAGACTATAAAATAAGCCGAGGCAGAGTTACTTTTCTTGTACACTGCACATCTACCCATTACGATCAATGCAGATAAAATGTTTCATGTTGATATCTCTTATAGCTTTAGAGTTATGTCCCGCACAAGAAAAGGATAGATATTTCGAAATGGGGCTTAATAGAGTTATGGTTCTTTTGCACTGTACTTTTACCAAATGAGATCTACAAAGTTTCATGTTGATATCTCTAATAATCTAAGAGTTTTTTTCCTGACAAAGTTCAGTGTGAAAATGAACATAGGGCAATAACTCCAAAATTAAGCAATATAGAGTTATGATTCTTGTGCACGACACATCTTCCCATTAAGATCAATCTACCTAAAAATTTTCATGTTGATCTATATTAAAATTTTTAGAGTTATGACCCGGACAAGACTTTTCTTAAAGTGGAGATAATTAAAACAAGAGCGATCAGTGATCACATGTGGCGCCTCATGGTGGCCAATTTCATGTTGGGACAAGTTTTGTGACAGACGGACAGATAGACGGACAGTGCACAACTAGACTTGGTACTGATCATTCCTGTAAAGTTTGGATAAAATTGCACCAGTAGTTTATAAGGAGTAGTCCGGACAAGCTTTTGTGAATCTGGCAACACACAGAAAAAAACACCTTTTTATCAAAGGGCCAAAACTCGACCAAAAATCATTCAACCGGAAAACCCGTGCAATATGCGCAAGGACTTGAGCTACAAATCAATCCTGTAAAGTTTCATTGAAATTGCATTAGTGGTATAAGAGAAGTAGTCCGGACAAACTTTAAAAATAAAATTATTAAAAGGCCATAACTCTGACAAAAATCAATAAACAGGAAAATGCTGAAAATATGCACAACTAGACTTGGTACTGATCATTTCTGTAAAGTTTGGATGAAATTGCACCAGTAGTTTATGAGGAGTAGTCCGGACAAGTTTTGTGACGGACGGACAGACGGATGGACAGACATACAGACGGACAGACAGACGACGGAGAAGTGATCCCTATAGGCCTTAAGACAATTTAAAACTTAAAAGGTGGAGACAGTTTAGTTATAGTTACTCTTGTTTTTTTTGTTACAGTTAGATTTAGTTGACAATTTCAGATCATCACATTATTTTTGTTTGGTTTGGGGTAATAAAATAAATAACATATGGGTTTGTGAGTAAGAGTAAAACTATCACCCCTTGTAAATTATATTTTTACTGTTACCCACAAACACATGAGTTATTGATATACTAATACTTTAGTCAAAATAATTAGCCGTGAAAAAAAGTTATATAACATTTTATATTTATCATTGGAACATTTTACATTTTATATTATCAAGGCTTTTTTCAACGTCTAAAAGAATTGTAACAAAAAGACGTAGGATAAATCAAATTGATAAAAGTAAAGATTTTCAATATATTTGCAATGCAATGAAAAATATACTTCGTCACCAAAGTAACAGTTTCAGAATCACATCTATATTGGTTGGAACGCTGATTTAAATTTCTATCCATTGTCAGTCATATTGAAACTATACATGTTAGGGCAATACAATTTATCCATCAACGGTAGACGAAATGTGTATACCCTATTTTAAAAATATACATTTACGCCTAATACAAATAATTTATGTTAATAAGTTGAATAAGGATTTTAGATTGAAAGAATATTTTTTTATTCATCAATGATAGAATAAAAGAACAAAATACACTAGTACCATTAATCAAAATAAAATTTTAAACTTATTTTACTAATCAAGTGCAACCATATCACATTTGGTTATCATTGCTGAATATTGCACAGCCATTGCTTCCTAGATGGATTACATGGCAGTGGGGACATTTCAATGGACATATGTCCTATGTACGGTGACAAATTTAATTTCAGTTCGCTTTAGCATGTTCATTTTGCATTATTTTCTCACAGCATATTCAATTTCTTTCAAATAATTACTAATTAAATCGTTTAAATGCATTAGATCTAAAGGGATGTCTAATGTCAAATTGTTTGCTAGACGTTTTTGCAGTTATCTGTTAAGACCTAACGAAACATGGAAAGGAAAAATGTAAACTATCAGATTAATGAAAGAAAAACATGAAATTAGTTACGTTATAGGTCTAATAATTAGGACTAACTGTTACCTATGTAACAGTTCAAATTTCTTAGTCACGAGATACACTTGCATGAACAGTAAGAATATCTCCCATTTGCCTATGGGAAATTAACATTACAAAACAGTAAGGCGTAATAATATAAAATATCATTGCGTATAAAACTAGACCATCATTATTTTCTTAGTCTGACTCCATCAAAATTACGCATGTTCATAACTGAGCAAATATGCAATTTTGATATCGATTTACAGTGGTACTTACGTAGGAAGTCCAAGCATACGACAAATAAGTAATGCTTCAGTAGAAGTAAAACTATTGTGACACACAGTTCCCCATGTTTTGTTGACCTTTACCTCTACTCTACCGTGATACGGTCCATTTGTTCCGGCTAATCTCACGTCCGTGATGTTCAAGTGATATCCTTTAAAATTTAAAACGTAAATAATATAAAATAATATCATCTCCGAATATAAAAACAACTTTGAATTTAATGTATATGAAATATTTTGACGAGAGAAATTTTCCAACAAAAAACGTAATTTAAACCTTTTCATTGGCTTTATTCGTATTCTTATCGATTGATCATCTTTGCTAAACCATGACTGAAATAAACTCTAGTTTAAACAGTTACAATGACACGTTTTTGAATTTTATAAATAATGTTAATACAACATAATAAAATATACTGAGGCACCGTTGTTTCACAGATGTATATTCTTATCAATCGTAAAGATTCTTTCAACCACATCTTTTATTTAACATGTTTTAGCATCTGAGACACAGATTGTTTCTTGAATAAAATATACTTATCTATAACAATTTATCAAGGGTTACATTTTATAATCTATATGTTTTGTGTTAAAATGAGAGTACATGAACAAATGTTTCTTGGCTAATGATTTTTTGAAATAATGGATCATAACAGTTTAATTGATGCGTAAACGTGGTAAAAATAGCCGAGGAATAGAAATCAACCTTTTAAGAAGACATCCATAAGTTTAAAGTTATGGATGTCGATAAAAATCCAACAGTTAAGATTTTTAAGTATTCTTATAGCATGTATGGTGGCCGCGAACATCAGTTATGGTATTACATTGTCACCACAAATCCTTATAAGACTTCTGGGTCTAAGGTTCGAGATTCGAGCCTGTCTTTTCTCTTCCTGAACAGATGCTGGCTGGATTTGGCGGGAATATACTGCCTTTTAAGCATATCCAAAGTTTATTATATTCTATAAGATTTACGTCCGGGAATCTTGCTGTCCTATCCATTAAACCAAGTGTTGGTGTTTAAGAAGTGGTCAGTGTCATCACCTTTATCACCTGCATACGGTCGTGCATAAACATCAAATTTCATTGACGTATAAACTCAGCCGTCAGTGTGACGTACGCAATAACGAGTAGATCCATTTTCCCATAAGCGCTAGTACCCGCCCATACTATGACTGAATCTCCACCAAATCGATCATGTTCGATACCACAAACGTGTGCAAAGAGCTCATTAGGCCATTCTTCAAACTTTAGCTCACCATTCCCATAAGTACACACAGAACCTTGAGTCATCTGTGAAAAGAACTCAGGCCAAGTCATTTTGAGTCAAAGTTAAATGGTAAATGGTTTCTTGCTAATTCCAAGCGGTGTTTTCAACATTCTGCTCTCTCAATGGGATGAATATTGCAAGAAGGCTGTTATGGTCTCAGCAAAAAAATTCTAATTACTGCATACACACTTGTACCGTTCGGCAAGCTGCCATATAACGCTGTTGGCATACAGAATCGGTGGCGCCGAACTTGACAAGAAATGTGTTTGAGCTTTAGTGGTAAAGCGTTTTCGACCTCTGGCATGCAAATGAAATACAATTTACAACATGCCACTTTAAGCATTCCACTACCCCCTATTCAACTCAGCCTCACTTTCGTAACTTCAACGTCAAAGAATGTGTATAGTGTCAAATCGCCTCTGACTGAGTGACGTATATGGGTTAAACTTTATCTTGAATTGTGATTAAATGAATGACAACAATGATACATAGCAAACTGTAAGAAGTATATCATACCTGGCACAAAAGCTCTGTATTAAAAGTATACTTAGCAACACAAATATATTCATTTCTCAAAAGCTTTCATTTTTGGTGTTCTGTTACAATTATTAGAAATCACAAATTGCAATAAAGCTTAGTCACATTTTGCTTCCTTTGCACTTGGTCAGTAGTATGATTATAGTTATTTAGTAATTTTAAAGTATTCAAAAACTACCAAATTGTTTACGTTTTACAACTTTCATGGACAAAAACGTTTCACATTCAGTGCTTCTTTCTGCAAGGTAGTAAGCATCTAAAAAGCAGTTAATTGATTAATTAAATATGTTTAAATAAATATGTGCCAAATATCAAGAAATAAATTCTTTGCTGAGACTTTATGCGCCTTTTAACATTTTAACATTACCTGTGCACTCTACTGCAACGTCATCATAATGTGTACAATTATTTGAAATTTCGTATCTGCATTCGTTTATATGTGACTCTGTGCCATTACATGTCATATTGCTGATGTAAATTGGACCGCTTCCAAATTTACTGGAATGCTTTGCCTTGACGGAAAACTTTTTATATCTAATAAGAAAATGATCAGGTGTACGAAAGAAACTGCATGAATAGACAAAATAGAATTTCTTCTACCGACATATATTTTTAAATGATTAATTTGGTACTGAAATCATATTTTGTTGTAAAATAATAATTATATTAAAGCATTAATTATATCATCTCCGTAATCTGATAACCCATGTTTTAACTTATGAATAGACAGCACATAACATAAAAATAATGTCAAATTAATGTACTTACTGTAAACCAAACATATAACATACAACTTGTGCATCAGCAGAATCAAATCCTGTACCACAAATTGTTCCCCATGTCCCGTTTACTTTCAGTTCAACACGTCCTTCAGTAGGAATATATCCGTCTTGCAGTAAAACCTCTTCTATTGTTAATGGGTATTCTGTAAACAATTATTTTTCGTTAATCGCGACATCATTTTTAACAAGAAAGTTTCATTCTGATTTCAAAGAATCTTGACAATATCATACCACTAATGTCAGGAAATATATAAAATGAATCCTTAATGTAGCGGATTTCAAAACATATTATATTGTGTACCCAGATATGGAGTGCATCTTTGTTTCTGAAACCAGCTTTTATCTTGTTGACATGTCATCGTGACTTGTTTTGGCAGAGATCCAATATGACATGCTATAGTTAATTCATTTCCGTTGAATGAAATAGGTTCTCCGTTATAAATTGTAGGTACACCACATGCTGTAAATGATGTAAAAATACTTTATCAAAAAGCGTTCAATGCAGACAATGTACATTGTAAAATATATATTTGTAAACAAAAGCTTCATTACAAGAAAAAAAAAAGTTTTTATAAATATAGTCGTGTCAGCTCTAAAGTTGTTTTAACGAACAAATTACTGACTATTTACGCAGGATAAACATTCGAAGCGAACCCTTCCACTGGTATAACATTCATAAGTTCTTTAACAAAACATTTAAGTTATCTCTTAATTTTCTATGCCAATATGCTCAATATAATAATAATATCTGTCATATGTTGCGGTTCGAATCGGAATATCCGTCCCGAGGTGACCCGCCCATTGGGCGGTAACGACGCTTGCATTTCTTGCATATTCTACCATATTTCATTATATTTTAAATTCTTTATCTTTATTTTCAATGGAAATTTATATCATGACAACCGTAACTACTTTCTAACAACAGCGTATGAAATTGCAACTTCATTCATAACGGTAAAATGACGTCATCCTAAGCGTGCTTTTGTACAGGACGCGACTCATCTGGCACCCCAAGCCATTTCCGGCTTGGGTAAAACTAACGGAAACGCCAGTCTGCTATGCAAGAAATGCTTAGATCAGGCATTGAATAGTTACTTTTAAATATTTATTATTTTAAAATGTTTCAAAGTATTTCGATATCGGATATTACCTCAATTCATCAATATGCAATAACTTACATGTACAAGCTATAGACAAATCGTACGTATGTGAAGAAGATCCATATGGTGATTTACCAGAACATTTGCGTATGTGACTCTGTTCACCATCACAGTTAAGTTCTCTTGATAATATAGGTCCTGTTCCTTGTCCATATATTGCAGATTCGAAATATATTGCCAAACTACATAAAAAACAAGTCATTTTTATATAAAAAGCACATAGTTCAATGAAATTATAAACGCATTTTTTAATATGGTTCTGATATACACAATTTTGAACATGATTTTGCCTTTTCTTAAGTCGACAAGCATCTTAAGAAGAACGTTTGGAAGAAATCTAAAATGAACGAAACAGTTAATAGATTTTCTGCCTAGAAATAACGATATGATCTAACTTTATGTAAAATAAAAAATAAAATTAAATGTCGACTTAAACGAAATTTTCTTAAAACCATAAACTTTTTTGAAAGCATACGATGCGATAGAAAGATATGTACAACTACACTTCGGCACTTTAGTTTGCCGACTTTGAAAGATTCTAGAAATTGGCAAATACAGTTACATCTATGAATATGTTATTCAATCTTAAAATACAATCTTACTTTCAGCTTGATTCTCTATCTAAATTTATAACATAATATTATCAAATCGTTATACAAAAATGGCCACTTTGATTTGAATTTTTGGGTTTGAAATGTTCGCTTCATAGGGTCTGACCTTCAAATTTCATTCAAAACAACATTTTTGCGTTGTTGTGTTTTATATTTACCTTGCATTGTGCGTCTTACATAGTGTGCGAGCATCATACATATCAACAAATCTCGCATCAATTGTTCCCCATTGACCATTAACAAACAACTCTATACGACCATCATAAGGTCCTGTGCCATTAACAAGTCTGGTATTTGTTACCAAGTTCATTGGCCATTCTAAAAATAAATTTATAGGTTAGGACATAGAAGTGTATCAAATCATGGGAATAATATTGTACTTATATCAATTACCATATTGGTCTATCATCTATCTACAACGGTTGGATCTACATATTTTCTATGTATTTTAGTGTAGTGCTGACTTGAAAATAAGTGACACTGAATATACATCTCACATAATGTATTTATACCATTATAGTAGTTTATTTAAATAAATAAGCTACAAAAGAGAACATCTCAATTTACAAGCATTAATATTTTAACATCACAACATGATCCCTAACATAATACACCATTTTAACTATTTATTATGACTTTGTAATTGTATGCCCGCCTACTGTTATTCACATACCAAAGTTTTTCAATTCGATCTAGAACATAAGAATGATTTTAACAATATGAGAACATAGTAGCGCAGATAATTTTCTTTTGTAGTTTGGTAGTATCGGATACAGATATTTGATAATTGATGTAACATTAACGAAAATTGATGTTGATGTGTATAGGAGGCATATATTGCCACCATTTTTTATGAAAAAATATAAACAGTAAAAGACCAGTTTATGCAAATTTGGCATCAAAGTGTCTAGAAAATGTAAATCTGATTTATATTATATTACAGTACTAGAATAATACCAGTTTAAAATATGTTTTTGTTATATTGACAAGTGCAGGAAGTGTTATCCAAGCTCAGTTTATTATCTTATGACATTTGATACAACATTTCTATAGAACATCGCGTTTGTATGTGTTGTGAAAAATATTAAAAGATGAGTACCAGTCCGTTTTATGCCCTTCTAACACGACCCGCTTTTTCTCTTTTGAACATAGAAGACCCGAAAGTGTGTGTTATTATGCAATAAAATCACTGTTGGCGTTCTTTGTCATGTCAAGTCATCATTATAAACATGTCACGTAACCATTAAATATGCGACGCGCTGAAATAAGTACGGAAACAAATCCGGCACAATTTAGATTAACATTAGGAATGGTAGCATTTATTTGCTAATGCCGTGTTAGAATCGAAATAATATATCCAAATCGGTGATTTTTTCGCTTGATAAAATCACTGTTTGTCGTTCGGATGCGCATCATTATATATAATTCCTCGTATCCGAACTCCAAACAGTGATTTTATCGAGCGATAAAATCACAGTTTTGGATATACTATTTCTTAATTCTAACACGACTCGCAATTTACCCTGTTGAAAATAGAAGAATCGAAAGTATTTGTTATTATGCAATACAATCACGTTTCTATATTTAGACATGTGACGTAATCATTATATACATGTGACGTAACCACTTAAATGTGACTCGCTGATATAAGTACGGAAACAAATCAGGCGTGATTCAGCTTAATATCAGGTATGGCAGCATTAATTTGTTAATATCTGTTAAAATAGTAATAATATATCCAAAAAGATGCTTTTATCGCTTGATAATCACTGTTTGTCGTTTGGATGCGCATCATTATATCACTCGGACTACACCCTCGTGATATAATTCCTAGCATCCGAACTCCAAACAGTGGTGTTATTGAGCGATATATTATTTCTGAATTAAATTACTTTTAGATATCAAAGCATTGAAAGTTTTATTTTTTGATCGCAAAGGAGAACCATTAATAAATACAATGTATATAATATTTCATTGTTTAACAATAATTGAATCAAAAAGATTGAAAAAACGTATGTTCAGGTTGTACTGTTCAATTGTAAAAATAAATTTGATCTTTACTATATTTCCAGAAATGTAGACTTAATATTGTATATTCGATGTGTTGTGTATGGGCCGGAGGCCTTTGGGTTAAAGCTATACTATAGAGCTATTGGCGGGAAAGAAACTGAATTCAGATAAAGTGTACAATGATAAAAAGTAATTTAAATAAAGAATTACTGTTACAAGCGACGGCAACATCTCTGTCGTGATCAGTACATGACACTTCTCGGCTGTATTTGCATTCATCTATATTAGTTTCATAGCCATCACAATCTAAGTTGTCTATATGTATTGATCCTGTGCCCGATCCGTAAGTGATTGAGTTTCTGTAGTAATCTCTGTATGAACTGAAAAATATATACCTTAGGTCGCTGAACTGTGAACGTAGTTACAAACCAATATTTATAAATGATCGATTTAATTTAGATAATCATTTATAAAATGTGGTTTTAAAATCATGTTGAATGACGTTATAATTTCATTGTACAAAAGTATATTGTAAAAGTAACAAAAAATATTAAAAATGTCACAAAATGTCGCTACCTTTTAGGCATGACAATACAGGGGTAGAGTAATATAAATTTAACTGTATTGACATATGAAACCAAAATACCACACCTTTGGCCAAAAAGGATATTGCAAATCGCTTTAGCTTCATAAAAGATAAATGATGTGCTGCAAATAGTTCCCCAAGTTCCACTTTTAAAGATCTCGACTCTGCCATCATACAATCCAATTCCGTTTACCAGTCGGATATTTGGTGACTCTATAAGGTCATTATTATAATCAATGGTTAATCATTGAAAATCGTTATTTATATTAAAAATGTGTTATAAATACAAGAAAAAAAATCTTTTGAATCCTCACTTTATTATATAATTAAGACAACTATGAAATATAAGGTAAACGAAAACAATAAAGATACACTAAACTTCAAACATACAAGCTTTCTTTGCATATACGTTACGCAATTGCTAATTTCAGTAATGGATTAAGATTAAAATAATATACATTCCCCACAGGTTGGGTTAAATAATTAAGAAATGTTTCTCATAGGTTCCAGATTAACGTTAGATAAAACAAAATATATCTGTTCCTTTTGTACTAAGGACAGATACACTTGGTGAGTAATTGCTTTTCTTTAAAAGGCCTATTATACTCCAAAAATGCGTTATTCATATTTTTTAAAGCTTGTGATGTTCGTTGACTTGTTATATTGTCCAAAATCATACTCATTTGACAATTACCTGAACCCTTTTTGTTTATTTTATATCTTGACGAAAAGAACATTTAAAGTGATTAAATATTTGATATAGAAGTCAAAATACTACTTTGTTTCATTTTGCTACATTTCTCACAAATAATGTCGCATTTAGCGCTTCTTTTTCCAAGTGATAAGCATCAAACATGCCCTGGAGCAATTATATAAAAGTAATAAAACTCATTTTGCATTTCTAAAGAGTGAAATGTTTATTTGTTTCAGAAACCTTATGTACCTTTAAATGATGTTTCATTTCTGGTTTTCATTAGATACTCTTGGATAAAAATGCCATATTAGGACGTTTTGATTGATTAACTTAATTAAATTACACATAAAATCGTGCTTTCACCTGATGTGCAATTTATTGTCGGAACAGACCAACTTCCATTTTCACAAGTACTTATTGTAATGTTTGAGCTGTACCCATCTATACAGGCTATTACGATGTTTCTTCCATCAGCTGATATGGACTGTATTTCTCCATTACGTATTTCTAATTTACCACATTCTGAAACAAGGTATAAAACAGTTCCTTCTACATTACCATGGATTGACTGTAACAACTGCTAAATCAATGAAATAATATTCTAATTCAGTCAGTACACACTATGTTCTCTATAAAGTACATGCATATTCTTTCTTAAAAAAAATGATCTTATACTCATTTGTCAACTTCTTTAAAATCCTGTATGTTGTAATTGAGGTTGTTAACACACTTAAGTGAAATTTTATATACATGTATGTATATAATTATGCTTATAAAACAATTTTCAAAGATGGAAAAATATGTAAAATATGTACTGCAAATATGTGTGCACATTATATGTAATCATTAAAATATATGCATTCATTTCTTATTGAAAACAAATGACTTAGAAATTAAATGTCAAATTACCTCCCTTTATTTCCATCAAATGTTAAATTGGGTAATATCTTTATAAATAATGCTTTTTGGAACTTCAATATTTATAAATCTTAAATTGAGCATCATATGTATGATATAAAACCATAAAAAATCGTGTTACATGATCTTAAAAACCCGGAGTAAACGGATACTTGCATATCATTGTGTCACCAAGGCTGAAAATGGGAGTAATACTATCAATGAATAACGGTAACGTTAACACACACAAGTATTAGACGGAAAATTCCCGCATTTGCCCTGTTCCAGATAACAACTATTGGGTTTAATTACGGTAAAGTCACATACACGAGATTTATATAAACTTCATTTGCATGTTATAATTCGTATAGAAAGTTTATTGTTACCGCGAAGTGTTCCTATTAGAATGATTTTCGAACAATATTTGATAAGATTTACAACAATTCTTTTAAAACGTTTACCGAAACTGTAGAATGCTTGTTTTGTAGGCCTCCGGCAAATATGTTTACATATTTATAAAATGCAGCTATAAAACAAAGATATTTCGGGGTCTTTAATAAAAGAGTTACGTACTGTTGATAACATCATTCCAAATGTTGTTGTGAAAGAAGTTGAATATTATAAAATGCTATATAACAATAGCACTGTTTGTAATTCTATTTTGCAAAAAGAAGATTTATATAAAATATGCTCGCAAATAACCAGACACTGGCAATCGACATTGACCCAAATATTCGCCTCTTTTTAACTGTTAAACTGTTTACCCATAAAAAGGAAACTCTCTCTCTCTCTCTCTCTCGAGGTTATCCTGTTTGTTTAGCTTATACTTATTTATTTTTGTTCAATCTTGTTAGAAGCTTTAAGCGGTTTTTACAGTAAATGAAACATTCTCGTATCTGTTTCAACAAATACTAAGCCATAAGTGTAAAGTTTCTTGCTGACGGTAATAGCTTGCCAATGACGCGTTTTGAACCGACGCGGCCGGCGCTTCTTAGATTACTAGTTCAACGCGTTAACCGCACGGCCACGCCACCACTCTGATCTTGACCGTTCAAATAGCCGGTGTAAAATTTATATATCTCACGTTCGATTTATTTTCGTACGAAAGCATATACAATGTTGACATCAGTTAATAATTCATTGCCAGTAAATTCTTTTTTTATTAAAATTATCTATCAAATTAATCGCACAGCAATTTTCTGAATAATAAATTATCGACTGTGTCATAAAAAGCGCTATGTTTTAAAACGCAGATTTTCTTCGATACAATTGGTGCAATTCATACAAGCTGTATGAACGGTTTTCCCATAAATGATAGAAATAATTGAAACGTGAGAATGTTCTTTAACATTAGAAATCAACAGTCACAATGTTAGTAATTAAATATACATTATAAATGTATGTACCTTCAAACATTTTAAGCGACAATAAGATTTAATCAAATCTTTTAAAATTCTTTACAACATAAAAGAAACTTACCACTGCAAAAAATGCTGATATCCCTATCATGTGTACATCCGGCATTAGGAACGAACTCACAATCTTTTAGGTGTGATAGAAAACTGTAACACACAAACCTTTGAGCAAATATCGGTCCTATGCCTGGTCCATAAAATGCACCTGATTTAAATGCTGTTGCTCTGGAAAACATAGACAAAATAAATGATGTTTATTTGATCTCACCTAGAATGCCATATCAAATAAATTTCATTGGAGTTTAAGGAAATCGGGCGAGCTTTATAAAATCTTCTTTGACGACTTTAGTAATTTTTCATATTACTTAACGAACGTGAATATTTTATATCACTTAGCATAACGCATCTAAAGCAATGAAAACGAGAGCTTTTGTACGCCGATGTTAAATTACATGTCTGAATTATGATAAGCTTATTTTTCATTGTGGAGTACAATAGTGTAGGTTATAGTTCCCATATAAGAATTACATACAAATTTAGAGATAGGGATCGTCAGCGACCGCTGCATTTATTTTGTATACAAAGCTAATATGTGAACTATAACCGGCATACAGTTTAGTTTACCCTGTCCCTTTTTGTCGATCCGTCTCATGCAACGTACAGCACGCCCATAAAGGACCCCGTAGAGCGTCGGGGTAAACGTTTGACTGTTGGCCGAAAAGCTACATATACCGAAACAGACGATTATATTTTACTAAACATATGTAGAATGTCTTAATATAATAGTATAATTTGTGGGCTACAAGACGTTACAACATCCACAGGTCATGTCGGACGAATTAAATTTTAACCAAACAGGAGATGATGAGGAATTCTCTCTTTGGGGGTAAATAATATTTCACCGACGCAGTCACTGATAGTGAACGCACCAAAGCTCCTGAATTACGAAAAATTACAGTTTCAGACATTTTGTTAGTTCAGTTGTGCCGGTCATTTTAAAGTCCAACATATTGTGGTCCAAGGCTTTTTGTTATATACGACGGCCGCCCTTCGTAAAGACAGATATCTTTATAATTACTGTTTGTTACAAATCTGTCGGTCTTGCAGCTAGTCATTTTGTAGAAATTGAGCTATGTAGTGAAAAAGCACGATTTCTGCTTCAACTGGCTATTTATAAGCACGATATAAACATTAACAGAACACATGATTTAAGCTTTTAGAAACATTCTTGAACTAAACCGTCTCATATTATTCATATGCACAAAGGTCCCTTTTCATATATATAGATTTACTGTATGCTGTCCCCTCCCGCATGCATTAGGCAGACATATGATAGATGTTAGTCTGTAAAATAGGTTTGCCTTTTTTCAGACAAAACAATGAGATATGACTGTTTCCTGATATCTGTTAAACTGGTAAATAACATGCACAACATGAGCCACTGTGCTAAACCTACATTTGGACAACCATTTATTTTTTTGTTCCTGAATTTGCTTGTTTACATCAAGAAATTGAGAAATATTTAGGGTTTTTCTATTTTTTTTAACATTTGAGAATCGACCATTGCAGTAGCCAAAACATTAATCCCTCTATTTGGAAACTGCCTTATTGACTACTATAGAATTTCACTAAATGATTTTACTTAATAGGTATTGTGCACAATATCAATATATACATATTAGCGGAGCAAAAATGTGAAAATCTCGCAATAAGGATTGGATGAAAAGCACAGGAAGGGACAGAGTGAACTATCATGAAATTTATTGGTCGAGGACGAGTTCACCGCTGAAACGAGGCCATAGAAGATGTGTTATGAATTTGATATGAACTTTTGTATTCTAGAAATATAAACGAGGCTAAATTGATAATTTTTGGTCCAATAAATTTTTTGTTGGAACATCACTTGGTGGAAATTCTTATCAAACATTGGTAATATCTAAAAAAAGTATGAAATAAAGAAGTATATAATTGTAATATAACATTGAGAACAAGAGACATCATGTGATAACATAATTTGCTACCAAAGGTAGATAAATATAAACATTATTTTGCTCATTCAAAATCAAAGGTTACATAAAATCAGCAACTTATTACAATCCCGCTAATACATGTACCTGAAGAAAGATAAGTTATAATACATACCTTGATATAAACCTATTGATTACAAATAAAAGTCAAAATGATGTGTATGACTAGGTGTTGAGACTAAAAAACAAAAAAAACAAAAAATTGAAGCTAAAAGGTACATGAGAAAATGGAAAGCCCTCTCGTGAACAATGAAATAACAAAAATTATTTCTACAAAGCTTAACTTGAAAAGTACTACTTTCCTTCTGTTTTGATACTATGTCAAGAGTAACTTGTGTTAAACATACGTAAGATTCATCATTTTGCACATGACTTGTGCGTCATAAATATCAAACGAATCATCACAAACGGTTCCCCAAACACCATTGATGCTGATTTCTACTCTCCCACTATATGGTTGCGTCCCATTGACTAGCCGTATACCATTTACATTTAATTTCTCACCACCTGTATAATACAATGTGGATACAATACAATTATTTTTAACTAGAATATTCCAAAGAAATATTTTAACAAAAATTTTACTTCACAACATGTCCTCACATTGAAAACAATTCCTCATCACATCTTAAACATTCGGGAAAGTCATATAGAGTTAACTGATAATGTAACACGAGTTAAGGAATCACATTAAGGATGCAGATGTCTTCAAAATAACATTTTAACTTAATAGGTGTGATTGACTTGTCCATAGTTAAAAGGTGCCAAAATTATTTAATTATCTAAAGGCATTTACAAATAATTTTAAATAATAAAATGATATCATTTAAACTTCTTTTATGGTTTACCTGCAATGCTTCTAGTTAAAGCGTGTAAAAGTATAACCCAAAACTGCAATTTTATCGTTGAGAAGTTGGCCTTTTTCATCTTTATATTTTCATGTCTGAAATAACAGTTATTTTTAAATAACTTATTACGTAGCTTGTCATTAATTACATAGACTGTGATTAAGATTAATTTAACATTCCATGATCATTTTATAAGTGATTTAGATGACAATTCAAGAACAACAACTGTAAGACTTAAATAAACCTATGTCAAAATTCAATTGAACAATACAATATTGAGCGATAAAAAATGAAACGCGTTAAAGCTTGTGTCTTTAACTACTTTTTACTTTTGAATAAGTACCCAAGTTTTCTCATTATACAGAAAACGAGTTCTTTTTATGACGGTAATTGCAACTATAAAACCATAATTACCCAGAGTCATTGAATCGAAACCCTTTACTTTCATAATGATATTTCAGTTTTTTTTAACGAAGAATTACTTGTAGTTATGAAAGTAATAGCCACCAAAATATATAATGGATAACTTATATATAACACTTAAGGTTTTTAATAATGTCTTTTAATACAGGTTGGATTGAAAATATGATAAGATGCATACGTTCTAAAGAATAACGATATCTTACTAGTATCGAAAAAAAATCCATAAATTGTTTTGTTATACCATATATTTTTTATGTATGTAGTAATGTCCGAATTCTTTTATAATTGAAAAGTGTGTGATATCATTATTGCATAATTGGTTGTCTGGTTACCTATGCTTTACGAGGGGTTATCCGCAAATTCAGGCACTCAGAATATAATCCCTCTTTTATCGCAAGACACAACGCCACGAAAAAAAATCTTATTTTGACATTTTGCACGCGCTCTGTTACGACGATGTTATAAATCACGTCAGTAATATTATTTGAATAACACATGACTCTCGGGGTGATAGTTGACTGTGTCAATTCTAGAACTGGTGTATTATCCCAAAGACGTACGCAGCAGAGGGATAAAAAGCCAATTTATAGGATGTTAATATCACCCTATAAAAAGTGATTAATATATTGTTATGCTATAATATACATATGCAGTCAAAAGAAAAACTTTCAAACGCTAAAGAATAAGTTTGCAAATTCGAATTTTCGCAAACACAACTACCCTTTTTAAAATAGGTTGAATACAAAAAATTAAACAAAACAGTAATTTGGATAGAAAAATTCGTCTATTGGCCGTTTATACAAAGATAGCACAATAATTAAACGCTGGGCAAGCTTTCAAAGTGCGGCGTCCATGGGATTTTTCCATTTTCCCATTGGGTTTTAAGTGTCCCATGCTCCATTGCTCCCATGCTCCAGTGCAGGTAAACCCCCTTTTCATTAAATGAGAGAAATATCCGTGGAAGAAAACATTATTTTTTTCTAAATAATTTAACATGTGTTGATTATTATGTCTTATAATGAACTTAAAAATATTAAAGGAACATATTTAAAGAAATTTGAATTCTCCCATTGACAGAACAAATTCATTAAGGAAATGAGAGAAATATCCCAAAATCAGAATACCCCATTTGTGGTGGACTTCTATCGTTTGTATATAAGACTGAAAGCAATTCCTTGTTTTATCCTTACCAAACCGATATCTTATATCATTTTGTATTATTGAAATAAACAACAACATTCTATAATTTTACTTTATTTAATAAAACTTTGAATTTTTAATCCAGTTTTCATATTGATTTCTAATAAGATTTACTTCACAAATAAATGGTAGTATTACACTCCAAAAAGAATAAATTTGTATCCCCATTGTGTCGATTTAATCAAATAAAGACGTTTCTAAAAGTCCTCAATAAAGCCACTTGAACCTTTATAAAGTAAATGTTAAAGAGCATGAGAAACTCGAGAATTTAGAAAATATCATGAAACATGAAAGAGACATGAATTCGTAATTATATCAGAACTAATGAGGAGTAAGAAATTATGACTGTGTAGTTTCAATATAATACAGTTAAATAAAAATTACATAAGAGATCATGTGGAGTATGAAATAAGACTAAGAAGCAAATAATCATTATTATACGTAAATAATAATAATATAATATTAACGTTATATTTACATAATGAGTCAATGCCTACTTAAAATCAAAAATATGAAATAATGTATGTTGAATTATATATGCAAACTATCCGTAAATACATTACATGATATAAATAACACAAATAGAAATAATAGAAATCGTGACTTCCCGACACTATTACAGCTTAATGGGAGAATTACATAAGGATACTATGTAGATTTACATTTTATTTTTTTCATCGCCCAACTTTGTCTTTAGCGTGAAAGAGATAGTATATGAACATCTAAGGAAGGATGGTGAAATAAATAAAACGGTCGACCGAACAAACTTGTCAATTTTAATATTATCACTAGATGTAACATGATTTTTCATTTCATGAAATGTGCTTTTGTATACCAGTTTTGTTCGATTTACTGAACAAAACGTGTTATACAGGATTACTTATACAGAATTTTAAAGGTTTTATTTGTTCGGTTGAGCGATTATATTTACAAATGATGTCACATACTTTTTTCTATCTAATGAAATTTGCAAAGCATGTTTGTTCAATCAACTAAACAAATTGTTTGTTATATTATCTATTAAATTTGTTAAATTTAATTTTCAATTAATTTTAGTAAAACAGTGTCACTAGTTTTTTTATCCAAGATTTGTATAAAATAACCCCAAAACCTCATTTGTAGGCTACAAGAAGGTATTGACTTGACAATCCCTTTTGATTTTGGTTAAGATTTTGGTAGATGTTTTACTTATTTAACCATTCTCCCTTAAATGTCCTTTTTATATCTCTTTCACTGTAAAGACAAATAAGGCAATGAAAAAATAAAATATAAAACTACATAGTATTCTAGTCACTCGTATCAAATAAGTTCAACAACGGTGGTGCTCGCATGATTTTCTCTGTGTATGCAGTTAAATTAAACAAGAACGTATCACAGTTACGCAATAAATAAATAAATAAATAAATAAATAAATAAATAAATAAATAAATAAATAAATAAATAAATAAATTAATTAAAATAAATAAATAAATAAAAAATAAATAAATAGAAATAAATAAATAAATAAATAAATATAAATAATCTGACATTTCTTTTTCATTTTAAAAAGGCCGTTGTCGCGTTATAATCACACGGGCGTTATACCACGGTTTATACATGTTTTTTTAAACTTGCATGTGCCTTTGTTTACAACCAAAGCGCTTTGAAAATTCGTATAAATCTTCAGCATAGAACAATGATAACGGTTCATGTATTTGAATATTCTGACAATGTTTATAATCTTCGAAATGTTTGAGTGAAATTGAGCAAAATCGCCAAATTTTGCATTTTTCGTAGGGCATTTTGAAAAATCCTGCAAGGCTCAAAAAGTATTTTATTTATGAAAATAAATGATTTTAAAATTTGTCAAGGGTGTAAAACTTTGTTTCTTGTCTATTGTTTTATTTCTAAATGAGCTAGAACTGATCTTAATCGGAAGTTTTCTGGGGAAACTAGGTCAAATTGCCCGAAATCTTTCCCGAAAGGGGTACTATAAATTTAGAACTTGCCATTTATAACCATACACATTTACTATTAAAAATAAAGGTAATAACTTGTCCCATATTCTAATGTTCACAATTCAGTTATTTGTTGTACGCAACCTTCGCCTTCGCTATTCGTATGGATATCTCGATTTAAATCGGCTTGTATCTTTCAGCCGTTTTTCTAAATGGCGGACAAATCATGTTGGAGTGTGATCTAGACAGTTTGAATCTGATTACGTACGTATGCGTCAATAAATTACATTATGTTTTATTACAAAATGTTACAAAACGTTTTCTAACTCAAAAATATATAGTGAAGAGTTTTGAACCATGACATTTACTTTTATCCCTGCTATATCAAAATTCATTCTTGATCTTCTAAGGGTTACAGCGCAAAGTGAATTTAATTCTCAACTATATGCAGTCACATCCCCGTTTTGGGTGCAAAATGTATAAGGTAAACAAAAATCTGTAGCCTGACTGGAACCTGAACCAAGGACCCTCAAAATACCATATCGAAGCTCTACCGACTGAGTTACCCAGACTTTTACACATCTACAGTTCTGGACCATGACATTAACTCTCCTAACCCCCGCTTTATTTAAAATTCTTCCCTGAGCTTTATGCAGTCACGGCCCTGTGTCCGGCGCAAATGTTAAAGGTGAAAAAATGTGTAGCCTGACCAGAATTCAAACCCGGTACCCTCAGAAGACCATTCCGATGGTCTACCGACTGAGCTTTCCAGCAGTTTACACATCTACTCCCCTAAAAAGTGAACAGTTCTGAACCAAATAAAATATTACCAATAAAAAACAATTACTTTTTATTTAAAACCTAAAAAGTTCTTTTATCATCATCAATAATAAATCAAATAAACTAAATGGAAACCTTATACAAGGAAGGTGATCAGTTATTGAGTTGTAACATCTTGATCTTGTGATCACTACTACATGTATTAAGATTCAACAATGCTACATGTCAATAATTTTACAGAATATTTGACAAATGTCAAATTTGTTCATGACTGCTAGAACCAGTGTTGCTTCTGAAAATCAAAGTTTCCATTCTTACACTTTTTCTAGATTTTTTACTCTTAAAAAAATGATATAAATGCTAAATAATGTGTTTTTTCTAAAAGCATATAGCAAAATATTTTGCCGGGAAGTTCTGACTGTTAAAATGAGGTATACTCAGATTTGTATCAAATCAAATGCAATAAGATTAATACTGGCTTATGAAGTAACATAATTACACTAGTATCCAAAAACATTTGAACAGTTTTCTCTAAACATTATTTTTGGTGGTGTTGTTTTGAAATTTACCAAGTTCTGTTAAGATTTAAAATAATAAATTTGAATTGAATAGATTTATTCATCAATTTGTGTGTGTTTTTTCTGATTTAAATTCTCATGAATACTTCAGTTTATATTTCGAATAATTTAGCGGTGGTCAAGCATAATGTCTCTGAAAGAAGAATCTTCGTACTCCGGAATTGTACTCAACTATTGTCTTATCATCAAAACAATTTAGATATTACATGGTCTATAGAACCTAAGCTAATACATGTAAATATGAGCATAGAAATGATTGACTGCCATTTCCATTGATGTTCACTTTGAATATAAGTATGAGTATATTTATTAAGATTAAATGTTTCTTCTTTCTTATCCTTTTTTAATTAATTATTATAAGTCATTGAAAAAAATCAATCACGAGATTGTATGAAATAGATAAACAGAGGAAAGTATCTCATATTAATTAATACTTTAACTGGTACCTAAAAATTAACTTCCCGGTCCCTATAAATAAGATAGTTATTGCAGCATAATTACACACATAATATGGTCACAAAAATAAAGTGCAAGACATAGCTTGATTTACTTAGTGTCTACCTTTTCATCATCATCATCATCATCATCATCATCATCATCATCATCATCATCATCATCATCATCATCATCATCATTCAATCATTATCATTACCATTATCATCATCATCGTCGTCGTTATCATCATCATCATCATCATCATCAAATTAATCATCACTATTAAAATATTTCTGCCCATGATTACCAACATCATCATAATCATCATTTTTTCTTTGTTTCATTTTGTTCCTACGTTCGTTATAGTTTATCAAAAAAATATCAAAAGTAAACAAAATAATGAAAAATAAATTCAAAAGTTAAACAATATAGAATGTCCAAATATTGATAAAAATGTGTGTGGTGACAGAGATCTATATACTGACAAGGGGAGATCACTGCGTAGGAGATTATCAAAAACCCTTCAATTTATAAATTATTTAAACTATTTAACACAATAAATTCAGTTATCCAACTTTTTCAAATTTACATTACGCCCTTCCAAGAGTAAATAGTAATGTTCAAAGTGAAATCACATTTTGTCATATTTGTTTACCCCGTGACCTTTTATACCTACACTGTATTAATATCCTTTTGTATTTATCGGTAATGATTAATTAATTAAACGAGTGGAGCAGTCTTTATATTTTTAAGCAGCTTTTTAAAAAATTCAATCCTACATATTTATCATTATCAATCACTGTTTAATCACAGTCAGTGTTTTGAAATAGCATTACTGTATTTCAGTTTGACAGTGAAAAGATGAACATGTGGGAAGGATCCCTGAGAAACAGAATGTTAAATGATGAGCGTTCATTATCGTGATTACCCACTATCCTTTTTGTACGTCTGCACTATTTTCTATCATATACATGTGCAAGTTGTTGTAGTGGATTTAATAAATAATCTGTTCTGTTAATATTATATGGAATACCTACTTAAACACCAACATACAACTAAAGTGTGAATATATTAAAGATAGAACTTTCTTTCTGTTAGTAATAAGTAAAACAAATCGCAAGAATTGTATTTTCTAAAATAAGCATACGAAATGTGTCCGAATGTATAAATATTTCAAACCGTATATTTTGTGTTTAAGTGCATAATTAACCTTGACGTCTAGCGATATTTAGAAAATTGTCACCTCCATACATCAATGCATATTATATAAATTCCTCCCGATGTGACACGGACAATTTGGATCTAGTTAAAATTATTTCTTAATTATTAAATGATTTTTTTTCTGATAATGACAGGAATATATTTATCTAAGAAAAAAATATTCAAAATTTTGAATGGAGGCTAGTTTTTTTCATTTTTTTTTTATAAGTTCCGTTCAAAATATGTTTTTTTTTCAAGATGCTTCTTTTTGTGGAAAATAAAAGTATATAAAACAGAAAGAAAACAATTTGACAAATTTCAATTTGAAAACAACATGTTTAATAATAAGTTTAGATGAAGACACGTCAGGACGCAAGATTGTTTCGGAGAAAATAGTATTATGATATACATAATTCAAGTATGCTTGATTAAATATAAGATCGTACACATGATTAGCAAGGCACTACCGTTATTACTTCGGCTTGATATAATCACACACGTGCACTATTCTTCTTATACAAATTTTACATTTCGGTAATACAAGTAGCACTACCTGATTGCATTTTTTTATTTATAACTATTATTAAATGTTTTTCACCTACCTTCAAACGCTTCGATTTGTTAAGATAGGTTTATTATTATTAATGGAGAAATTACACATCAATGATTGTCTATTACATCCCTGACAAAATGTAACAAACACGCGTAGTTATAATCACAACTGTCTTGAACACTAAGTGAAAATACAATTAATAATGAAAATACAATTAATATAACAAATTGTTAAAAAATTTGAATTGTAACGCTTTTTATGAATTATTCATCAGAGCAGAATTATAATTATTCATAACAAGGGTTGTCATATTTAAAATCGCTGCCATACATGCTTTCCAAAACACTCCCATGTTATGGAAAATTAAAGAATCCCCACTAAAGTTATACCATTTGATGCGGAATTCTTTTTAATATAAAATGGTATATCATGTAACTATTTTGGAGTAAATATAAGACCGTACGTGTGATCCTAACGACACTACTCCTTACCGTGTGATTATCACACCACCGTGTAATAATCACACGCGTAGTAATATTACCAAGACACCGGGAAACGGATATTTAGTGATTGAAAAGTTTTGAATTTTGAATTTATGATCAGATTTGTTAAACAAAAAAGATGAATTAAATTCTCCCATTATGTTAATCTCCCATTAAGCTCTAATTGGGTATTACTCCAATTACGCTGTTATGGGGGATTTCCCCCATTCTAATTTTGAGGGATTTTTCCCATTATTTTGTTCCGCCAATGGAAGAATTGTAAATTTCTTTAAATATTTTCCTTCAATACTTATAAGATTATAAAGAATACTTATCCTTATAAAGAATACTTAGACATTTGTTTTGTCACCCCAAAGGATATTTTCTCCCGTTTTATGAAAATGAGGTTTTAACCCCATTGGAGCTTCCATTGGAAATGTAAAACCCAATGGAAGAATGGAAAAATCCCAAGGGACGCCGCACTTTAAATGCTTGCCCAGCGTTTGTTTATTTTGCTATCTTTATATAAACGTCCAATAATCGTCTATTTCCATTCAAATAACTGCTTGATTAAACTTTTTTTATTGAAACTATGTTAAAAAGGGTAGCTGAGTTAACGAAAATTCCGGATTTGCAAACTTATTCCGGAGGCTGTTATTTACAAAATTGGGGCGATAAAACACTTAAACAATCACTAAGAATAGAATAATCAGTCCATCGGAAAAACAAGTACAGTACTGAATACGGAGGCATGTAAATGAAAATAATATCAACCAGGAAGTATTCTATATGTTTGTGATATTCAATAATTCATTTTGGTGTATGAAAGTTTCACATTGAAGGATATACTAATGTATACTAATTTGAGTGTATATGCGTTATTAAGTACAATACTGAATTATATTGGACATGTACACAGCTGTCAATTATATAGTAGAGACGATGCGCAAGTCGAATCTAGTATAGGTTTTGCAGCATTGTAGAATATGAATTTTAGGTTTTGAAAATTAACATATATAAGGCTAGACAGAGTGCAATAGTGTTTTGTTAAAAATTGTTTAGACTCGGAAAATAACAGCCATGTTAAATTGATAAGATTTGATACAATTATGTTTTTATTACGAACGAACAACTTAATTATTAATATTTTATATATGTGTGAAATAAAATAAATACGTAATGGTTATATAAGAAAGAAAACAAGCAATGTTATATAATTGAAAAATCTACTATAGATTCCACATACTCGCAACGTTAGCATATAAAGTACCTTGGATAATGCATATCCTTGTAGACACTAACTTGATTACTCACGGTACACTTTTGTTTAAAATTTACATTTATAATATCTTATAAATATATGTAAATCAAATTAGATCATGCCATTCATTCTAAAAACACATTCAGCTTATTTATACTTTTAATATTAAATTGTAAACAATTATTTTATAAACAGTACTTACATACAGGGGTATGTACATGAAAATTTAAAATCGCAACATATTTATTTTTAAGTAACACTAGCCATTGAATTATTGCACAAGTTTAATGTGAAACAGATTGTGTTTATGATTAACCAGTGCCAACGGCATTTTCATTGCCTCTGCTATCTTACGTTATCGCATCAGCTGTTTGATGCCAGTAACATGCTTTTTGGCGATATCTCAGACAATGCTTACTTCTTTAGAAAACAATATACGCATAGTTATCTTTGTAAAGTTGGTTTATTTATATAACCGTGATCAAAAGTGATGTCTCCCTGTCAATCGGTTTATAAACTGTCACATTTTGATTTTTACTACCTGAGAGGTTCCACAACAGAGTATAACAATGTCACTATAAAAACTTTGAAAATGCGTTTTGCAGTATAATACAGTAGCTTAGAAAAGGTTACTTTTTAGTATGAAAAAAAATAATTTATTGAAAAAGTTAGAGATAATTATAGCAAAATCATGCAAATTACAATATTTAGACCTGCTACATAACTGTTAAATGGTCTGACCATGATTAAAGAATGACTGGCTTTTCAACAGAACCCAGGTCAAAAAAGACAATTAAAATCATTCAGATTCAATAGATTAAAAAAAAAAAAACAACAATATTTTCTACTCTAAAACATTAAGGCCACAAAATCTGAGAGTGACTTTTCTAAACTGGCGTTAATTGCCCCCAAAACTCGCATAATCATAAAATATAAGTTATCTTAACGATTTCACATGTATATGTATAGAAAGTTTATACAAGTATAAACTTCGTGCAGCAACATATCTAAAAATAACTGTACATTGAAAGGTGATATTTGCAATACACCTCAGACTCGTTGCAAAATAATCAACAGATAAAAACCGTATGGTTATTCTGATAATGACATGCCAAGGATACGCGCATTGCCTTTTCGTATAGATGGTTCCATAATATTTTATTGAAATATATAAGGCAGTAGTTAAGTAATGGCACAGAAACGAATGTTTCTTTGTACACATATCTAAGCTGGGCCATAACTATATGGCGGTTTGGCACTGATGGTCCAAATCAATGTCAAAATCAAGTCCGCCGTTCTGAAGAAAAAGCACATCAGTATACACTCGGCAAAGCATTAAGAGGCCATAACTCCGAGTTTGACATGCTAATAATATGCGCAACTTCCACATATTGCCATTAATATTCAGTCAGTATTTGCTCAGAAACAGCGCGGAAAAGACAGGCGGAAATCGGACAGAAGTTCTATTTAGATAGCGATTTATGGCTACTCCCTTGGTTTTTCTATTGTTCTAGCCACATAAAGGAAAGTTAACCTATTCCGCCTGTAGTCACATAAGTATCCTCACGTAAGTGCAGACAGATGCACGGCTGGGCACACTGACGGACAACGCCAAAATATATCATCAACCTGATTCCATCGGCGGGGATAAAACTCCCTAGCCAAGTATGTTAAACAAAAAAAATAAAAAAAATTAAGTTCATGTTTACCGTGTCTATTTTATTTTAAGGGAATTTATTCTTTAAGTGACATTATGCTCAATTTTTCATGTTTCATGTTTAGCTTAATTGACTATATATTTCAAAAGATTGACTGTATAATGGAGATTGACCAGCTATTGATATTAAAATAATGTTCAAAATGAAATATAAATCTGCCCAAAATATAAAAGACGGCTCCACTCCATTTATGAATTGAACATTACACGTAAATTCTGGTTGAAATTTACAAAAAATCCCTGGGCCAAGTGAGTTATTGATGAATCATGCAAAGAAAAAATAATAAAATTGAAAAGAATTATAGCAAAATGTATATTCATTTTGGCTTCAATCTGTTCGTTACCTACATACACTTACATGTATATGCTAACTTGGGTATATTACATGCTATTGCTGAACATTTAACACCTTTTCCGAATTTAACTTCCGACACTATTTATAATAAATTTAGTACAAGACTAAAGAAATAGTACAATACAATAGTTTAGCAAAGGAAAATATCAATAAAATGAGATTTATCCAAGCTTTAAGGTGCTATTGTAAAGAGTAGTTACTTTTTCAACCGAATTACCATAGAATCAGATTGTTTGCTAATATTACATATGCAAGTAAATAATTGACCGTAATTTTGCTAAAATGATCAAAGTCTCGACAAAAAGCACCAGGCCATTTAACTAAAGGTCCAGGGAAATGTAAGATTTGCACACGGAACAATATAAACGCTCAACAGGCTATTTATCAAACAATATAACAAGAGGGTTTTTTTTTTTGGGGGGGGGGGGAATTCTAGTACTTATGATCAATTCAATCAGAATTACATATCAGCTTGACATTGCAATAATTAGGTTGCATGCTCCGAGTAGATATATCCTGTGATTGAGACTCTACTTGTTTAGATAAATGCATGCAGCTATGCGAACAATATCTTCCTTAATTGTTTTGTATACATGAAGTTAAGTTCATAAATTTGTAAAAAATAAACTTTGTTTATTCGAGACGCAATTACTAGTTTTGATAGATTAATGACGAATTTTGGTATCGGCGTGGTCGTATATGTAACCATTTTGAGTCAAATCGTAAATTTTTTAATTTTTCTTCTTAAACTCTTTGTAAAAACTAGGGGTGTCACGGTTAGCAAAAATTCGAACCGTTTAAACGGCGACAATGTAACCGTGTAAAGCGTTTCAACGGCCGTATTTAAAGAATTGTAAGATTCTTCAACTTTATGTGTTTTTTTTCAAAAGATAGCACATTTTACTCGTATTTTGATTTACTTGACATCAATAACAAAACAGATCTGATTATGGAGTATCATTGTAAGACTGTACTGTACAAGATAAGATTAAACAAACTAAAATACTAAAAAATCTTATCATAAATAAACAGAAGTTATGTTAAAACCCAATTTAAAATTTCTTCGTCTGTCGATTTCGATTTCCGGATATTTTGTTTTCTAACCGGGTTTTGGCTAAAATTTGACCGAACCAGTATTAACGGTAAAAACGTGACATTCCTAGTGAAAACGTTACTATATACGCGCGAAATGAAAGATATCCGTTCAAAATAGCCTTGCCTCTTCTAGTGTATCACTTGCAATTGATTATCTTTTTTATAAATTATACTGTTTTTATATAACTATAATCGAAAGAACGGAAAACAACATTTAAACAATCTAGGATAAAATTTAAACTAAGACCAAAAAAGGTGCAATCCTTCGAGAACATGCATGAAATGAGTCTGTTCATAAGGGGTTTTTAAAATGCAATATTTCTCACGATGCTAGAACAATTTAAGCAGTATACAATATTCAACGGAATAAAGAATTGGAATGACCAGAAAAAATATAACGAGCCAGAGGCTCGCATAATATGATTTTATTCAACTCGTTCAATAAATTTAGTATTAAACTACACTCATTCAATATCCTCTATATATCAAGTTTTCATGATGTATCGCTGACCATTTGTATCAAATTGTATTTCTTTTAAAAATTATTTATCACACTTTTTATTTTTCTAAAACAGATAAACATGAATAAAAATTGAATAAGGATATATTGAATTATATTATTAGTACACTCGTTACTAGATTTACTTATTTGAACTTATCTTTTTAAAAATCTAATCGATATTAGAATTAGCATATATTTTCATGGGTTCTGCTTTAAATGTACGAACTTTGAATTAGCGTTAATCATTTATTATCTTAAACAGTTTTAACATTCAAGTAAAGAGACTGTGTGACTATATTACGAAACAAATGTTACTTCTATATCATAATTTATCGTTTAAGATACATCTCTTGTATATTGCTGAAAAAGCGCACTCTAAACAACATAAAATACTTGGCTCACGACATTTTTTTAAAATATAACCATAGTAAGGCGAAATAAATAGACATAATTAATATATTAAGCTTACTGTAGTCACTTTACTTGCTTAATTTATTCTTTATATGATATTATGGTATAGGTTTTCGACATTTAATTAGTAACACATGTACATGTATATGCTAACAACGGTATATTACATGCTATTGCTGAACATTTAACACCTTTTCCGAATTTAACTTCCGACACTATTTATAATAAATTTAGTACAAGACTAAAGAAATAGTACAGTACAATAGTTTAGCAAAGGAAAATATCAATAAAATGAGATTTATCCAAGCTTTAAGGTGCTATTGCAGCTCATTTACGTTATTTCTAAAGTCTGGATCCTGATATATTTAGACATAAATGTAATTAATGATATAAATTGGATATCAAGCTAAAATCTACATATTATTTTCAAATTGTCAATTTCTCAAATTTACTCGTACAATATCAATAATAAAGCTCATAGCAATTTTTTAACAGTTTGTGATAAAAATATTTTGCAGTTTCTATTTATTTTACTTGTGCAACAAAGTGGTTTATATATTAAACATATAAAAAGAGGGCTGAAAAAGAACACAATTTAACTGGATATAAATAAATGTTTAAGACAAAAGAAAGCTTAAGTATTGTTGACAGTAGAACAGTAACTTTAAAATAACAATTTCATAATATTCACACTGTTTTTATGTTAAAATACAAACAAATAATACTTAACAGTCTTAGTTGCATCCGAAAACGTCCATCCATATTTGACCAACTGAGAGCTCTATTGAATGTTGCATTATTATATAGACATTAAACAGGAAGAGAAATCAATCAAAACAAAAATGATTAAATATGTCAACAAATCACGTTCCATTAATTCAACGGTACGGAAATGAGCTAAAACAACTTTAACAAGAGATGAGTATTTGTTTAAATGTATTATGCATCACAGTTTGAAATTGTCTTTTTTGTGTGGCCTCTAAAGATATGGATCATTTCAATATGGATCATTTCTCTGTCGTCTGAGTGTTTGTCTGTCCGTCCGTCCGTCACAAAATTTGTCCGGACTTATTTTTAAAGTTTTTCCGGAGGACTCCTCTTATACCTCTAATTCAATTTCAATGAACCTTTACAGGATTGATCTGTAGCTCAAGTGCTTTTGAGTTATCTGGTTGAATGACTTTGGTTGAGTTATGGCCTTTGAATAAAAAAGGTGTTTTTGTGTGTGTTGGTAGATGCACAAAAGCTTTTCCGGACTACTTCTCTAAAACTATTTCATTCTAACTTTACAGGAATGTTCAGTATCGAGTCTAGTTGTGCATATTATCGGCTTTTTACGGTTCAATGAATTTTGTTAAGGCCCTTTAATTTTTTCTATTTTTAATGTTGGTCCGGACTTTTCCTCTTATACCACTTATGCAATTTAAATGAAACTTTACAAGATTGATTTGTAGGTCATGTACTTACGCATATTACACAGGGTTTCCGATTGAATATTTTTTGGCTCGGTTATGGCCCTTAGAATGAAAAGTGAATTTATAAAGTTTGTCCACACTACTCGTCTTTAACCACTTATGCAATTTCAATGGAAATTTACAAGATTGATCGGTAGGTACTATGTTTTCCGCTTGAACAATTTTTGGCTAAGTTATTACCCTTGAACTAAAAGGGTGTTTGTATTGCCAGCTACACAGAAATTTGTGTTAAATACTCCTCAGAAACTACTGGTGCAATTTTATCAAAACTTTAGGGGAAAGATCAATACCATATTTAGTTGCCAAATTATGGCTGTAATGAGGCGAACCATGTGATCACTGATCGCTCTTGTATCTAATAATTACCTTCCCCTTGCAATAATATTAACGGGCATTAATGATGCAAAAGTATAAAAGATTTAAAGATTTTTGTGACATGTTTTAAGTGGGCAGTTTTATTTAGTGTCAGACATTGAAAGTTTTATTTGTTATATTCTGCTGATATAAACGTTTGTTTTTCAAATGATATCATGAGCCTACCCTCCTTCCTCATCCTTCCGAATTTACTTCCTCGCGGTTGTTCCATCAATTTCTAAATAACTTGACAAAAATTGAACATCCATTGAGAGCAATGTAAACAAAGCAAATAGTTTACAATGGGAGACTTTGATCTAATAGGTTGGCTCAGGAAAGATTATACTCTGTACAACATCTCTCAAACCTCCTAACACTGGCTTCAGTGGTATATAACTTAAGCAATACATTTTTTGGAATCAATAATCCTGACAGCCTAGAAAAACAAGAGTTTGTCGCAGAAATTGTAGCAGTCTCCTACTGGTGAACTATTGCCTGATTTCCTACTTCTACCCATATAAATGTGGAAATTGACTTTTAAGTATTCATGCCAGATTTTCTAAGTATAAGAAAGAAATTATGTTTTTAACGGAATACACACGAGTTTTACATGAAGGGAACAAATGTTATTTTTTTGATGTTTTATCGCATGTTGTCAGTTATGTATCCAATGATATTGCTTTTACAATTGATGCAAGTATTGCAGAGACACTGTTTTACTAAGTGTTAACAATAATATGCCATGAATAACATTCATATGATAAAAAAGTCACCAATTTTGATTTTTCACATTTCTTTAAAAATTATATCACTGACGGAATGACAGACATAGTGTTGAAAAAAGAAATTGACGAGCAAAACCCCACGTGATCCGCTAAAACATAGCCCCATCATCATTTTGTTGTTTTTGTACTTTTGAGAGATGAAACGATCTAATTTTTGTGATTGACAGAATGACAGACATTTGTTTGGTAATGTTTTACGTCGCATCAACACAGTATAAGTCAAATGGCGACTTTCGAGTTTTACTAGTGAAGGAAGATCTCAGGTGTCCCTTCGTGCTTTATTTTAGGCATTGAACGGGTATCCAAGTAAACCACCGTCGCTATACAAGCTTACTGGATAGCTTCCTCACATGAAATAATCCAAAGTGCCTGTCGAGATTGAAAACCACAGCAGACAGGACAGGGGCAAGTAGTTTGTATAGTTTGTAATCAACGACCTTAACCACTCGGCCACGGATGCCCTAGAAGGATAGACATAGAGATAAAAATTTAAAATGACGAGCATAATTTACATAAACGTATCATCAATCTTGCTTTTGTACATTTTGAATTGTGATATGATTCAAAATTCTTTGGATAGACAGTATGGCAGAGTGACTGACAAATAGATGGATGAAAAACTGAAATAACGTGTATAATCAGCATATGGCCCACTAACAACATACTTTTAGTAAACTAGCTTGTGTACCTTTTGAGTAATTGCAGGATTTGTATGTTTAGGATGTACATAATGGCAAACAGATCAACACACTAAGTACCATCGAATTT